TCTCAGCCCAGTCGATAACTATTTACATCAATTTACATACCTCTCGGACAAGCCAGTTCTCAGGGCCCAGACTTTCTCATGATTTATCACCGTCCTGGTATAATTATTCTGGAGGCAATATGTATTATCTACGCGGATTGCACTGCGCGTGCGGCTTGTATAGAGTACCGACCCGCTGCCCGGCCGCTATCTTGAATTATTGAAGCCAGACTTCCGTTCGGGCTTCCGTTCACGGGTAATTGTTTGGAGTTTTGCCAAACCGGATTTGAAATCGTCTAAAGCTCTCTCGACTTCGTTATGTATTACTCGCATGCTGCTTCTCGGCATTAGGAGTTGGCGGTTCGTCTTTCGTCCTTTGGTTCTTTACCGGTTTCTAACTTCCGAGCACGCATGAGTCCCTCGAGCGATGGGGAAGAGGGAGAGGGAGGAGAATTGTACCACCTAGTTTCCGATGAGATGGACTAATCCATGAGGGAGTAGGTAGTATTGCTGTGTATGAGGGTTTCCAACTTCCGGAGGAGAATCATGAGATGGACGAATCATTATCCATGAGTGCTCACTCGCATTTTGCAATTCCTACAGCTTTCCAACTTCTAAGTGCTACACAACTAAGGGTATAATTAGTACCGGTATTGTGGGTCGACTACCTACCTACTGTATAGTGAAAGGGGGATAAAAATACGCTTTTCTACCCCCCCTTCACTATACAGTACCTCTGCATCTTTAAAACCATGGCTCAGCCACGTCAGGTATATAATAGGTAGGTAGTATCTCGCAGAGCCAGAGCCATATATAGGGCGTGAAGGGAAAGGAGTCCTCCATGGACCATGGCGAAAGAGGCTGCCTACACATCAGAAGTTGAGAACACCCCAAAAGACAAAAACAAAAAGTAGGAAAAGGAAAAGGACTCGGAAAGGACTCGGAAACAATGGACATCACTTTCCGAGTGAGTGTACATGCGTTTAAACCTACTCCCGCCCATACAGGAATGTACGAGTGACTAACGTCGGGGCCGCTTGCCTAACCAATAGGTATCCTAGGGTGTCTGCGGCCAATTCGCACGCTACTCTCGCTGCGCGCGCCAGGCTCGTCTCACGGTGATCGAGGGTTGATGAACTAGTGCGCCGTCGGCCGTGGCTGCCTTGTCGAGTTCTCGGGTGGAATTTGACCATCCTTTCTTTCTTCTGTATGTACCGGATTCTGATGCGAGCAAGAGTCAAACCCTACCTACATATCTACCGTTGAGCTCTGAAGTCTGCATCAGCGTCCCATGGATTCGGACGACGAAGGTTGTCGGCAGACGAGCAGTAGGTTCGGACACGGACGACGTCGCAACGATTCACTTTGAGTTCGGACTTTTCGAGTTGAACTCGATGTGAGTGGAGCGGATTAACGCCCACTCCATTTGCATTCCATGCGCTCGAACACAATCTCCAGTCGATTCCCATACACAATCCACAATTTGGTTTCATTACAAACTTTTACGCCAACACCGGAACACATATCCAAGACCGGAGCCACGAACACATTCCACACCCCCCCTTCCTCTGTTCTCTTCTCTCCTGCCGGCTGATACCTGGCCTATAATTAGACCAGCATGAAAAATAAGACCTTTTGAACCACAAGCACCATATGTGAAGGCCGTTCGGGGGGTAGCACTTACGTGCAATCAATTCCAGCCCTAGGTACTTGCTTAGTCGCCACCACTCGAGGCGGCTCGTTCCATGTCGTCTGGAGCCAGGCTAATGTCACTTAGTCGGCATAGCTAGCATCATCATCACCTTCTCCGGATAGGAAAGACTTACCATCTAACGAATCACGCCAGGCAGGCATCAGCCACCATCACCATCACCATGTCCGGGTAAGAAAGACTTACCGTCTAACGAATCACGCCAGGCAGGCATCAGCCACCATCACCATCACCTTCTCCGGGTAAGAAAGACTTACCGTCTAACGAATCACGCCAGGCAGGCATCAGCCACCATCATCATCACCATCTCCGGATAGGAAGGACTCACTGCCTATCGAATTACGCCAGGCAGGCATCAGCCACCATCACCATCACCATGTCCGGGTAAGAAAGACTTACCGTCTAACGAATCACGCCAGGCAGGCATCAGCCACCATCACCATCACCTTCTCCGGGTAAGAAAGACTTACCGTCTAACGAATCACGCCAGGCAGGCATCAGCCACCATCATCATCACCATCTCCGGATAGGAAGGACTTACCGTCTAACGAATCACGCCAGGCAGGCATCAGCCACCATCATCATCACCATCTCCGGATAGGAAGGACTCACTCCCTATCGAATTACGCCAGGCAGGCATCAGCCACCATCATCATCACCATCTCCGGATAGGAAGGACTCACTGCCTATCGAATTACGCCAGGCAGGCATCAGCCACCATCATCATCACCATCTCCGGATAGGAAGGACTCACTGCCTATCGAATTACGCCAGGCAGGCATCAGCCACCATCATCATCACCATCTCCGGGTAAGAAAGACTTACCATCTAACGAATCACGCCAGGCAGTCATCAGCCACCATCATCATCACCATCTCCGGGTAAGAAAGACTTACCGTCTAACGAATCACGCCAGGCAGGCATCAGCCACCATCATCATCACCATCTCCGGATAGGAAGGACTCACTGCCTATCGAATTACGCCAGGCAGGCATCAGCCACCATCATCATCACCATCTCCGGATAGGAAGGACTCACTCCCTATCGAATTACGCCAGGCAGGCATCAGCCACCATCACCATCACCTTCTCCGGGTAAGAAAGACTTACCGTCTAACGAATCACGCCAGGCAGGCATCAGCCACCATCATCATCACCATCTCCGGATAGGAAGGACTCACTGCCTATCGAATTACGCCAGGCAGGCATCAGCCACCATCATCATCACCATCTCCGGATAGGAAGGACTCACTCCCTATCGAATTACGCCAGGCAGGCATCAGCCACCATCATCATCACCTTCTCCGGATAGGAAGGACTCACAGCCTATCGAATTACGCCAGGCAGGCATCAGCCACCATCATCATCACCATCTCCGGATAGGAAGGACTCACTCCCTATCGAATTACGCCAGGCAGGCATCAGCCACCATCATCATCACCATCTCCGGATAGGAAGGACTCACTGCCTATCGAATTACGCCAGGCAGGCATCAGCCACCATCATCATCACCTTCTCCGGATAGGAAGGACTCACTCCCTATCGAATTACGCCAGGCAGGCATCAGCCACCATCATCATCACCTTCTCCGGATAGGAAGGACTCACAGCCTATCGAATTACGCCAGGCAGGCATCAGCCACCATCATCATCACCATCTCCGGATAGGAAGGACTCACTCCCTATCGAATTACGCCAGGCAGGCATCAGCCACCATCATCATCACCTTCTCCGGATAGGAAGGACTCACTTCCTATCGAATTACGCCAGGCAGGCATCAGCCACCATCATCATCACCATCTCCGGATAGGAAGGACTCACAGCCTATCGAATTACGCCAGGCAGGCATCAGCCACCATCATCATCACCATCTCCGGATAGGAAGGACTCACTCCCTATCGAATTACGCCAGGCAGGCATCAGCCACCATCATCATCACCTTCTCCGGATAGGAAGGACTCACAGGCTATCGAATTACGCCAGGCAGGCATCAGCCACCATCATCATCACCTTCTCCGGATAGGAAGGACTCACTCCCTATCGAATTACGCCAGGCAGGCATCAGCCACCATCATCATCACCTTCTCCGGATAGGAAGGACTCACTCCCTATCGAATTACGCCAGGCAGGCATCAGCCACCATCATCATCACCATCTCCGGGTAAGAAAGACTTACCATCTAACGAATCACGCCAGGCAGTCATCAGCCACCATCATCATCACCATCTCCGGGTAAGAAAGACTTACCGTCTAACGAATCACGCCAGGCAGGCATCAGCCACCATCATCATCACCATCTCCGGATAGGAAGGACTCACAGCCTATCGAATTACGCCAGGCAGGCATCAGCCACCATCATCATCACCATCTCCGGATAGGAAGGACTCACTCCCTATCGAATTACGCCAGGCAGGCATCAGCCACCATCATCATCACCTTCTCCGGATAGGAAGGACTCACAGGCTATCGAATTACGCCAGGCAGGCATCAGCCACCATCATCATCACCTTCTCCGGATAGGAAGGACTCACAGGCTACCGAATTACGCCAGGCAGGCATCAGCCACCATCATCATCACCATCTCCGGATAGGAAGGACTCACAGGCTATCGAATTACGCCAGGCAGGCATCAGCCACCATCATCATCACCTTCTCCGGATAGGAAGGACTCACTCCCTATCGAATTACGCCAGGCAGGCATCAGCCACCATCATCATCACCTTCTCCGGATAGGAAGGACTCACTTCCTATCGAATTACGCCAGGCAGGCATCAGCCACCATCATCATCACCATCTCCGGATAGGAAGGACTCACTCCCTATCGAATTACGCCAGGCAGGCATCAGCCACCATCATCATCACCATCTCCGGGTAAGAAAGACTTACCATCTAACGAATCACGCCAGGCAGTCATCAGCCACCATCATCATCACCATCTCCGGATAGGAAGGACTCACTGCCTATCGAATTACGCCAGGCAGGCATCAGCCACCATCATCATCACCTTCTCCGGATAGGAAGGACTCACAGGCTATCGAATTACGCCAGGCAGGCATCAGCCACCATCATCATCACCTTCTCCGGATAGGAAGGACTCACTCCCTATCGAATTACGCCAGGCAGGCATCAGCCACCATCATCATCACCTTCTCCGGATAGGAAGGACTCACAGGCTATCGAATTACGCCAGGCAGGCATCAGCCACCATCATCATCACCTTCTCCGGATAGGAAGGACTCACAGCCTATCGAATCAAGCCAGGCGGGCATCACTTAGCCGCCATCATCACCAACCACACTCTTAGAGAACTCACTGCTCAGTCTGCTCGACCACAATGTGCCAACGGCAGATCCGCATCGCGTTTGCCTCGTCAATAGCAGTGTCAACTAAAGCTTGAACGCTGTCATCGTCTGAAAGTTCCATGATTCGAGGTGCCGAAGACACTTGAAACCACGTCTTGCATTTGAGGCTTTCGTGATACACGCGATCGTTAAGTCTGATAGAATCTCAGGATCATTTGAGGTGAAGTTACCATCGAACCCGTTCAAGGGCCTTGCTGTTTTCATAGCCTTTGTACAGAGTTCGACAACTAGGACATTCCTGCTCTGTTCCTCGCGACGGCTCTTCCTGCCTTTTCAGTCGCATGGACATGGAAAGGGTCTTGCCTGGTGATATAACGTCTTCCCAGCTTTTTGGGGCAATCATTGCGGCTTTATTGTCTTCGTCGAAGATTTCAAATGCCATGCTTTCGACCCACTTCCTCTCTCGCCGGCCATGAAAGCTACTCTGTAGTACGTCGTGAAAGGCCTTGTGTACTGTAAGGTTCATGCCTGACTGCGTCTGCTCGAATCGGCTTGTACCTCCCATGTTTCGCACCACTCATACGGCACTGTAATCTGTCTATCGAACGCATCTATAAGCTTGATGGGTTTGTTGTCGCTCCAATCAAGGCTTCGCGGAACTTCTGCCAGTTGCTTCCTTCGCGAGATGACGTAAAGTTCCTCAATCCGGTGCCTGTAAGCGTAGAGGAAACCAATCAATTCATGCATTGTTAGTGGATAGTCATAACTCACGCATTGTTGACGGTCAACAGCATATCTATCGCCGTGATGTGCTCTTGGAGGCGGCGAAATGGCTCCCTTGTGGCGTCTTTCATACCGCCCCAACCCAGCTTTCGAATGTAGTCTTTCACCTTCTTCCCGGATCCTCCTTGTGAAAGACTAGCATCGTACTTTTTGGTTATTTCGTCAAAATTCCGTAGAAGTTGAGAGCACTCGCTGAGATGTTTCCTGGCTGCATTGACGAGCGGTTTCGGTAGGGAGCAGGAGTTCGTGCTCTGCAAATCGGTTTCCACGCTGACAAGGGTCTCCCCGAAGGACCGCCGCATGAGCTTCAGGCTCTGGTAATCGGCCGCAGACCCTCCGGTCTCCTGGAGGCGAGCATATGCCCCCATCGCAAGATTGCCGAAAGCAATGAAGTCGCCGATGCTGATGCCGAAAGACATTGGTGGTGGCAAGGTTCACCGACGGCGTGATCGACCGAAAGGCGGGGGAGATGGTGGCGGTGGACCGTAGGATGATGATGAGCTATAGGAAGGTGATTGACTGTAGGATAGTGCGTATCTGTGTTGCTGTTGTGAGGGCGCGGGAGCGAAAATCACAGGCGACAGTTCCGTACATACACTTGTTTTCGCTGCCGTGAGGGGTATGAGGTTTCACCAGATGTTGCATGCGTACTACCACCTGCCACGGGTCGGACGATGATTGGCACATTCGTGGTGCGTTGTTTTCCGTCGAAATACATAAGATTGAGGCGAACACTGGGTGACCTGTATACACACGTTCGGTCTCAATACCCCCCGTCCGCTCCACACTGGTCATGATATCAAGCCTTCCGGATATTGTCGATCATAGTATTCATACATATAGTCTCACTCGAGTAACTTTCACATGTGTAGCCAAACCAAGTCGTCACATAAGTTTCCAGCTCCCGCACCCCTAGGTATACTCATCCCAGGTCCCGTTGGGTTGTGCAGTACATACGAACGGGCTTCCGACAATCCCGCAGCTAGACGGACCATCTCAATACCCCAAATAATCGGGGGGCGACCAACCGAGCCATAGTATTTATACTGCATTACACCACCCATATATCGAGCTCACTCGCCAAACGACGAGACACAAGTATGTATAATAGTAGGTAAAGGTAAGCAAGTGCCCCAAACAGACTCCAGAACTCCCCACGTCTCACATTATTTCCCCATGCCATTACCGAAACCTCGCCGCCAACCCAGTCCTCACCGGTGTAGCAGCAGCCCTCTCCCTCTCAGCCTCGCCAGCCATCAATTTCTCCAGTAACACCGGCCCAGTGAGTGGATCGACATTGGCGTAACGCCGCATGCGCATGCCGATGTCGTAGAACTCGTCCGGGTTGTCGTTTTGTAGGAGGTCAACTGTTTGTCCGAGCTCCTCGAAGATTTGGGGAAGCGTGGGGTCCCCAAGGCCTTCGACGAACCTTTGCAGGAAGGTTACGTCCGTGTCGAGATCTTGTACGGCGACTTTGTTGATTGTTTTGACGGATTCCGACATAGGGAGAGCCTGTGTACGTAGGTTAGGAGGGTTTCCGAGAAGAGCGGATGGAAGGGAGGAACGGACGAGGATAGAAGTCGCGATGTGACTTAAAGCATCGAAGTATATGAGACCCTTGATATCCTCCGGCAGGGCAAGGAGTGCCGAACCCATGATATTATTCAAAAACAGGGTCATCTGCTGCAGATACTCGCTGGGCCGAGTTCTCGGCTTCGCGCCCATCCAATTGTAATCTGCCGTTTCTACCAAATCGTCGATCTTGCTATTGACGAGCTCGAAAATCCGTTTCTCGGCGGTTTTCTTCTCGCTTCGAAAACGTTCTGTGGCTTTGATAGAGACTGAGCCGCCCTGGTCTGACTGTCGTACTTCGACGAGGAGCCCTTCGAGCTCCCGACTGGCGTATTCGAATTGTTCCAGGTTGATCAGGATCTGGACAAGCTGACCGAGATTGTTAGAATTCAGACGCTCCACAAGTGCTGCACAGACATGGTTGCAGAGAATGTCGTCGAGTGAGGCTTTGAGTTCCTCATCGATGGCATTCTGATGCTGGAAATACTCGTCCGAAAAGAAGTAGTACCGATTCAAGAAGTCCCGGATGTCCATGCAGCACAACGGGTACATCTGCGAGAATGGTAGAACAGTAGGATATCTAGGGTAATGGTTAGCAGAAGATGCCAATAACACCCTCAGATATACTCACTCTCGGTTCGGGATAGGGTCCTTGAACCAACTAGCTTTGAGCACGTTTTCGTACTCCTCTGGTGTTTGAATCTGCATCGGCCCGAAATCCTCATTCGCCATGATATCCTTGAAATTCTGATAGAACTCCTTCTTGAGTAGCTTGGAGTACCCGTTGAAGAGGATCAGTAGGAAGTTATCAAAATTATCAACCGCATAACCCCAGCTCTGTCGCAGTCAGTTCAGTCCACAGCAGACAGCAGATCGGAAAGAATAAACCAACATCCATAGTTTGTATGAAAAGAGCCAACACATTCTTCACCCTCAACAATGCACCCGCAGCCGTGATACCGTTCAGCGCAGGACTGATGATGCTAATTGCCTTCTTACACATACTATCCCAGAGCTCATCCACATCCTGACTCCCCCTGAAATTCGTCGTCTTCTTCATCGTCGCCTTCTCCAGAATCGCAAATCCGGCTATGCTCTCCAACAAATGATTGAGTCCCGTAATATCCGCATCCGAAAGCGTTAGGCTCACGGCCATCAATAGCTCCTTCTGTTGGCGTCTGGTATTGGTGTAGGTCAATCGGAATTCATCGCGTTCACCGAGCGCCTCATGAATATGCAAACACTCAAAGAGCGGGTCGAAATCAATCCTGACATCCTCGTTGTCCAGCACATCGAACTCTTCACGCTCATCTAGCACCAGCTCGATTGCCGAGTTGAGCTTGAACAGCCTCAGATACGGATTCTTGTTGACGCGCTCCTTCTGCCTCTGGCGCCGTAGTTCCGTCTGATCGAACGCGACCTGGCCGAGTAGCTGCGAGCTCTCACGAATACGGTAGAGCCAGCTATTGAGATCCGTCATCACGGCCTCTTTGACCATGCCCTGCATCGCCGGCACGGAATTCTGAATCATCTCCGCCACATCAAACTGCACGACCTCCTTAAGGTGCACATTCTGTAGTTCGTCGAGCGTCCTCAGCGCAGCATAATGCTTCTTGTTCTTCAGCAGTTCCTCGACGCGGTTGGCAAGACCCAGCACCTCGAGACACAATCGCAACGCCTGCGTGGCCTCGTCGATGTTCTGCCGAACGTCCCGTGAATCCACCAATGCCTTCTTGTGCTCGACAACTTTCTGCGTGCTGGTCTGGATGGACTCGTTGAGCTTGAGAATTTCGTCGGTGAGGTCGACAGTGCCCTTGCGTACGTTGAGTAGCTGGTTAACCGATGACACGAATTCTTGGTGGTTGGTATTGCAGAGGCGTTCAATATCGTGTTCGCGGCTCTCGGAGAAGTGCTGGAGCTGCTCGGCGAGCGCATGTTCCCGTCCGATGGAGCATGCTTCGTGGATGACGGTGACGAGCTGGTCGAGGTAGTCCGAGTCGGAGGGCGCGTGGAGGAACTGCGGGGGAGGGGTTTAGCTAGGAAGAAGAGGCATTCGAGGGGAACAGACCTGTTGGATGCTGTGGGAGAAGTTGTCTTTCATTGCTATGGCTTGACGCGTTATTGCTTCAGCTTGGGCATCCAACTCTCGGGCGTTGATCGTCGAGGAACGTCGAATGTGTGGAGCTCCTGAGGTCTCTTGGCGACGATGCAGCCAACAACGGAGCTTACCGCCATTCACGAGGTATCACTCAGGTATCACAATCATCTACCCAGGTCGGACTCATTGTACTCGGCTCATTCTTACAGAGCTGTTCGCCTGATTGGTATCATCATCTCGTGAAACAGTTGGGTAAAATTCTAAGTACTCCTAAACGCTTTTTACCTCGGAAATAGATTTACATCCAGTCCCTCCTCTTCACCGGGCCCTCTTCCTCGTCGCTACTTTCGATATCGCTCATGACGTCGGGCTCCTCCTTCTCCTTTCCAACCACGAGGTCCTTCGTGAGTCTGTCCAGTTTCTTCTGCTGCCCTTCAACTTATTCTCGCCCCTTCCACTTATTCTCGCCCCTTCGCCCTCGAATTCCCCATTTCCGCCTTATACTCCTTCGCATACTCTTCTACCGTCTTCAAGAAGCCATCGATACCAGCACCAGTCAGGGCACTGACACTAACAAGCTCAAGGCAACCGTAGTAAAACTCATCGAGCATGACCGGCATAGAGTTGAGCAATGATCGCATATATCCACCGCCCGCTCCTCACCAGCCATCAGCACCGCATTCAACGCCCCGAAATCCAGCATCCACTCCTTCGCGCCCACAGAATCGTGCGTATCCGTCCTATTAAAGACCGATACCATTGAAAGCTTCATTGTATACAGGACTGAGCGGGCGCAGGGCATATTCGCCATAAAGTTGCTAGTTAGACTGAGCGCGGCGTATCGACGATGTATGCAATTGGCCGTGGGAAACGTCGACGCCAGCGCGTCGGTGATGATTGCCAGATGCGAGCCTCAGTCTGCCCTGGAGTGTCGACTCACACCCGTTGGAGCATCAGGGCATGCTTCTCAAGAACCCCGAGGACTTGGTCAATCTTGGTTACGAAAAGGTTGAGTGATGTCATGATACCGCTGTTGGGACAGCTCGTGTAGTACTGGATCATTACTTCACGGTAATTGACGGAATCGCGGATGTCAATGTTGCGGCCGAAGGAAATATTCTTGACTGCTGGATCGAGATTGATGATGTGGGGAGGTTTGTTTGCGGCGTGGAGGTGTTCGGTGGGTGGTGGTCGGCAGGTCAGAAGTAGAAGAAGTTTGGGATGTCGAGAGTGGGGCAATGAAAAACTCCGGGTTCCCAGGAGCATTTGGTTACCCGGCCGAATTTGGATTGCAACAAAAAGACATAAGCCCCACGCGGGGGTCGAACCCGCAGCCTTAAGATTAAGAGTCTTACGCTCTACCGATTGAGCTAGCGAGGCTTGATATAAAAGAAATCTTTATATATCAATATTATATTATTGATACCCTCCATACTACAAAGGCTCTGTTTGCGAATCTACTTCTCATCCCCAATTGGCAGATACGGTTGCTTCCCATCACATGCCGGGTTAATCTTCCTATACACCCGAGTGTCTGTCTCCACCATAGACGTCGACGGCCAGGACCAGTCATCATCCCACCATCCTCCGACGTCCCTAATCACCAACATCGCTGGCCCTTCCATGAAGTCCGCCTCTCGTGCAAACCCATCATACGCCTTCCGAATCCCCATGTAGGTCCATTCCCTCCCAGAGACGCACTCACGCTTATGCCTGGTCAGCTCGATTTCCAATACTAACCTATGTAGTAGCGGTAAGCGGTCCACGAAGTGCATTGGATGCAGGTGACAATTGGGCCGCGGCGAAACGATGTAGCTCATCCGCTCGAGGTGTGGAAACATGGCCGGATTCAGCACAGCGGCTCCCAGCAATTTGGGCGCAACCGGTCGGGCGTACCTTGAAAAGTCGTCGGTTTCGGGGTTCCCGGAAAGGTCGTCGATTTCGAGGTACCGAGCCGAACATTTTGGGCGCAGTAGCATCTCAATATTCCCGCTTCCATTCTGCATCTCGATTCGCAGAGACGAGATATGCTCGAGCGCGTAAGGCCAATCATCGTGCTCCTCCGCTATGCTCTCATTACAGCACGACTGGTGCAGCGAGAGTGACTTCACCTGGAGCTCGCAGAGTAGCTTCCTGAGCTCCATTGCCACTCCGCCTTCGTTCCAGTCTCTGCCGAAACAGATCGCCATTCGGTCGGGAATGATGCCCTGCGATGAGAGAGCATTGACAACATGATCAATCAAGCGCGAGGCGGCGCCCTGGCGGAGGAAGAGGCGGATAGAGCTGTAGAGTTTACGACGACAGAGGGCATGGAGGCGTCGAGAACAGAGGGAGAAACTCTTGAGTGCTGGCGGGCCGTGTGCGACGTCCTTGATGGAGGCGAATCGACGAGGCGGGTCAAGTAAATCCATGATGTCGAGCAGGAGATCGTTTGAGAGTCTATTCATATTATCGATGCGCGGGGTGACTTTGTCGAGTGCCTAGTGCGGGGAAGCCATGATCAAGCGGTAGTATGTAGCGGCAACCCGCGCGGATACATATCAAGGCAAGAATGTGGGGACCTTGGCGTGCATCCGGCTTTGCAGCCAATCAAGGGCTTGATTCGTGATGGCGTACATATAAACACACTGCAGCGGGCACGATGTCTCCACTGATGGCCGAGGTCAACCGTTAGTCAGTCTTCACCGCCGCGATCCCCATCCCATCCCATCCCATCCCATCCAGTCAAATGCAATTAAATCTGATATATACCCCGCTGTGCCCATCCGGTTTGCGACCATAGCACAACGGTAGCAGTAGCCACCCCCGCGCCGGCAGCTCAGATGCATGAGATACCGAAGGCGACTTATTCGGGAAGGAAGGAGGGGGGACATGGGGACAATGGACTTAGTGCCACGATGTGCGGGGCATCTGTGTCTGTTCCTGCCTGCAGTTGTTCTGGCTCTCAGAGGAAGCCCTTAAAGCCTCCGCTGTCCCCCCGCCGCCTTGCAGTCCCACCCTTTCCCTTCGTCCTTTCCTCTCGTCCTTTCCTGTCTCGCCCCTACCAATCCAGCGCCCCACGATCACGATGTCTACCCCGAAATTGAACCCTCCATTCAAGGCCGAGCACTTGGGCTCGCTGTTGCGTCCCGACTACCTTCTTGCTGCTCGCAAGCAGTTTGACAAGAAGGAATTGAGCGCTGCAGAACTGAAGGATCATGAGGACAGGGCCATTTCAGAGGCTGTTAAGATGCAGAAGGAGGTTGGGCTGAAGGGTCTGACCGACGGAGAGTACAGGTACTTGAGTACCTGAGGGCATTGTCCGTGGGGCATGGAGTCTGATGCTAACTGTGGGACATCCGTAGACGTCACATGTATTGGGCCCCATTGAATCAGAGCACCGGCAATGCGAATGAAATGCTGATATAGCTAAGGTTCTACGATGGCTTCTTCGAGCACCTCGAAGGCTTCACTGGTGAGCACCCCGCGGTTGCATCAATAGCAAAAGCTAATTGTATCCCCAGAGGTCGATGCTCCTCCTCGGGAAATCTTCAAGGTAAACTCCATCGAGTGTTGAGTATCGGTCCTTCTGTGTCTAATCCCCACCCACCAGTTGTACGTACCCGATATTGCAGCTTTCCTCGCCGAGAACACCAAGCCGGCCGCAACCACACTCTGCACTGGCAAGATCAAGTATGTGCATACACGTTCCTGGTCCGCTATGTCCGCTTTCGCTAATCCAGACAGGCACGTCAAGAGCGGATACCTTCCCCAGTTCGAGGAGCTCAAGAAGTTCGTTGATCCTGAGGATATCCCAAACATCAAAATGACTTTGGCTGCTCCTGAATGGTACGGTACCCCCTTCAGTGGATGAATTGGCTTCCAGCCTTGCTGACATCCTCGCAGGTTCCATTTGCGTCACGGTATGCTCGAGACGGAGACTGTGGTATCGAGTGTTATACATGGCTAACTGGGAATTTTTCCAGGTCAACATGCCTACAGCAAAGATGTGTACAGCAACGATGAAGAACATTTCAACGACATTGCCGCTGCATACCGTACCGAGCTTGACATTCTGTACAAGGCTGGCGTTCGCAATGTCCAGATTGACGATCCTCTGTTGGCTTGTAGGTTTTCCAGAGGACTACAGGATGTATGAGACGGAGTGGCTAACAGCTTTCTTAGACTTCTGCGACGAGAACATGTTGAAGGGAATGAAGGCGGATGGCGAAGACCCAGCGGAGAGACTTGATGTAGGAAGCCCCCAGCTCAGACGGTTTCTGCCCATAGGATCATCATCTGACGCAGTTACTATCAGGCCTACATCCGCCTCTACAACAACTGCCTGCGTGACCGCGCCACCAACTGCCCAGATCTGGTTGTTGGCCTTCACTTGTGCAGAGGTGTGTGCAGAAAATCTCTACATCTGCTTTGCCGAACCCTTGGTTGACGGCTTTCGGATAATAGGAAATTTCCGGCACTCGATCCATTTCTCGGAGGGTGGCTACGAGCACATCGCCGTGAAGCTCTTCAACGAGATCAACGTTGACACCTATTACCTGGAGTACGACACGGAGAGAGCCGGATCCTTCGAGGCGCTCAAGCACCTCCCCAAAAACAAGTCCATCGTCCTCGGTCTCATCACCTCCAAATTCCCGGAGTTGGAGAACATCGACGACCTGCAGAAGCGTGTCCAGGAGGCGGCCAAGATCATCGCTTCTGGAAGTGAAGAGACCGAAGAGGAGGCCATGAAGAGAATCTGTGTTTCTCCTCAGTGCGGGTAAATCTGCTCCGAATCTCCGATGCCATTGTCACCGGGAATAGCTGACTGACGCGCCGGAATCTAGGTTCGCATCGCATGAAGAGGGCAACCTCCTCGGCCACGACGATATGAAGAAGAAGCTTGCCCTTGTCGTTGAGCTGGCCCAGAAGATCTAGATATCTTGAGATGGGAGGAACCTCGGCGCGGAAATTTCTTTACATAACTTTCAAAAGTCCTTGGTTTGATTCTAGGTTTAATTCCAAATACAATCATGAGTGTGGATGGAGGAAATAAATGCATACTCGCAACAAATCGGACCGCTGTGATCCAAGAGTGCATGCAAGTGCTTAGTTACTCTATGTATGACGGAATTGCGCAGAAAAAGCAACGTCGTGTCAGGGGGTCCAATGCGGCTCCAGGTTCTGGCGAGTTGAGGGATGGGGATCTTTACAGGTACTCTACATGCATATCTACATGACCATATGTAGTTTGGTTGGCTTCATGGAGTGCAGCGCGGATTACTTCTCTCTTTCTGCCGCGATTCGTATGCTACTCATGATCCTCGTTTCGTTATGCTATATTTTGTCTCTGTATGATATGTATGTCTGCTTGTTTGCCGGAGAAGATTTTGGAGCGATCATTCCAAAGATATTGAATCTATTGAATCTGGCAGTGTGCCCATCTCATCTGACCTATGTAGAGCACTCTACCCAGTGATTTTCGCGGTTGCTTGCAGATTTTTTGCACGTCGCCAGATTACGGTTATGATGTAGGTAGGTAGAGTAGAGTACATACCTGCGGGAGGATGCAGTGTCTCAGCAGGTCACCAATACCATCATAGGTAGACGATGAATGCGTTGGGTTACGGTAGATGGAGGAGAGCATACAATTCTCCAAGCCCGCTGTCACTCCGAAACGTGGGACCTTTCCGATGGTGGCTTGAAGAAGTTCATATCTCTCCGTAGATGGCACTGGCAGACGCGCACAGGCCAGCGGCCAGCCAGCCAGTCGGTCGGCCGCATTGGCCCAGCAATATTTGAGTCGTCGTCGATCGCGGCCGGCCGGCCGGAGCCCCCTCCAAGCTCTCTTTCAAGCTCTCCTAACTAGAGTACGGTAACCTCATGACATTAACTAACCGCTCCGAACCGGTTCGCTCGAGAACGCTCACGCTTCATTCGGCCTCCGCCTCCTTTCCGCGGCCGCGAGAATTCCGTGGGAATGCCGCGAGAATGCCAGTGCGGTGCAGAGTACTCTGCATAGAGTGCATACATAAAGCAGCTATGATATGTATCCTAGCATATGTAGTTCCGAGGAAGAGACAGCAGCAGCAGCGCCTCGTCCCGTCGTCGGGTATGTACCTGTCAAATATACGGCATGCACTCTGGGTAACTAGACCTCGCTCGCTCGCCAAATTCCCGTCTCGCACTCGCTCGCTCCCACATTTTCTCTGTACCGTAGTCTATACATATAATTAACTGGCGAGCCATGTGGGTCTTGAGTCTTGACGACAGCAGACAGTGGCGCTCTTTCCTTTTTCCTTTTTCCCCCATGCCAGGTCGGCGGCCAGAGCTTCCCGGGGTGGTTGATAATAATTTAACGAGGGAGCTGGATGGATGAATGAATGAATGACCCCCTTTTCTTGGCTTCAGCCCTCCTTTCAAGGTACAGACTCACATGTGTACACAGAGTACGAGACGATGCGTGGGGACTCGGAAGGGGCTAAAGTAGCTTGCAAGAATTTCGGAATCATGAGATGAACATTGAACACCGGCGCCGGCAGTGGTGGGTTGGCGAGAGGAGGAAGGAAAAAGGAAGAGGAAGAAGGTTGATTTACCGTGACCGGCGGCGGGCATTGTCGCCTCTCACTATGATAGTAACAGTACAATACATATTACATACTGCCCACTTCCTCTCCGCAGCCCGCCCGCCCCCGGACTCTCGCGTTAGTTACCTATTTGCACTGACTCCGATGGCCCCCGACACTGCGTCGTGTTCTGATATTGCGCTGCGGACCAACAAGTATCATAACTCCGCAAACTCATGGTCGAACATAAAGACGCCGCAGGTGAACTGACAGCGGTACGGGATCGTCAATTGCTCAACCGGGACTCCATCTTCCAGAGACCTTGCGATCCCGGCGCTGAGTTCCAATGTTTCAGGATTTCAGGATTTCAGCCCGTCCGCGTCGATTTTGCTTAGTCTGGGCTCGACGTACGTTCTTGATCGGTATTTGTGTGCATCAAGGTTGCATACTCCACCTACAGGTAACAGCATTCGAGCGAGTATCGGATGGTTGTCTAACCTTCTGGACAATGCGGAATGTATATATAGGATGCCGATTCACAGTAACTGGATATAGTAGACGCGGAGCCGAGTGGGATATTGAATCGGCTATTGATGTTTACCGTGCCCAGGAGTAACTAACTTCCTGGGAGCGGGAGGTCATCTGGGGGCGGAGAGCCAGTAGCTGGGGTGGTGGGGGTGATGAATGAAGCCGTCATGCCTCCCGCGGAGCTGGTGATGGGGGTTAAGGACCGTACATAACGTTCTCCAGGGGGCAGAGAAGTGCGTCGCGAGAGGTGACGACACCAGTTGAACTGTTGAAGAGCCTCTTCCACGTGACCTCCCGTCTTGTTACACCACTGTTGGCTCCTGCAGTAGCGTGTATCACTGTCAGTGGGAGTGCAGTACGCACAAAACGATTCACGATACATATTCGCATCGTCCAGACCGCGCAATGTTAGTCCTCGGTTTTTGAATTCGGGATTTCTCTGTCTTCAGTCGTTTTGAGAGCTGTCGCTCCTCCGGTGACTTCACACAAACCCTGAGCACCTGACTCTAGTTGTTTCTCTTCACTGACCAACATGCAGGCCCTCTGAAGACCGGAGCACGCACACTCACTCGTCACATCACGTGATCCGACAAGGGGCGTGTACCGGCCATTTCCTCACACTGACCCGGTCCACCCACCGTTCAGGCCAACCCCGACGATTAGGGCCATCGGTATGGTTCCAGAGATGTGGCGGTTTCATCCGTGTTGTGGATGCTTGGGAAGAGAAAAAAAACAATCCGAGTTTATGCACGAGGTCGTTCCGTATAACACGGCTAGAGTTAGAGTACATGTACCTGCATCTATGTACATCTCGCGCCGGACGCTTTCCCGGCGCAGCAGGAGATCGTCTCCATGTGCTTTCTTTCTTTAGGGCCCCAAATCACGTAGGAGATGCCTATATCATGCTACGTTATATGTCGCTGTAGTTTAGGTTGCCGCAAATTAATTTACTGTTTGCGGGCTACTCCCACTTCGACTCTCCTCCCTCTGTCAGTCTCCAAACCACCCCCCTTTCCCGCATCGAATCGTGACGAGCCCCAAAGTGAGGCATCATTTCGTTCCTTTTTCCGGCCGTCCATCCATCCATCAATCGAATCTGCTCCCCACAGCCGAAACACCGCATCCTCCACCGCCACCACCACCTCCACCACCACTCCCCTGCTGCTCCTACAACTAAACACCACGCGTCTACATCCACATACAAGAAGTCCGTCTGCTTCATTCGCTTTCAGCTCTCCCCGGTCGTTAATTCTTCGGCTTCGCTTGTTCAATATATTAGCCTGGACCGACGCTGCAGCACAAAGCAACCAGAGCAACCAGAGCAGAGCAACCAAAGCAACCGCACGCAACACGCACACGCCCTACAGCAACGAACCCGCGCCGCCGCCTTGTCCTCCTGCAACACGTCCCTGCACCACAACCACCACTACTATCCACCACTAACCTCCACCACCGCGGCCACATCCCTTCAACTGCACCATACGACCGCGTTGTAAATCGCCCTCCCTTCGGCTTCGTCTCCTCGATCGCACGCCGAACGCATCTCCCCCGCTCATCGCCGCCGCCGCCGTTCTCGACTCCCCCCTCACCCCCCCTCCCCCCACTTAATCTTTCAACTGGTTCACGAGGCGGGACGCTAGAACATTCACTATGGGGGGTTCGTTCAATCCGCACTCTTTGTTTCTCGTTGGCTGCGTGTTTGACGCAACTTTTGCTGACGTTTCATGTTCGTTTCTCTGTAGCTTCCGTGTCTAAGGTGTTGGTATGTTTCCCGAAATCGAGCGTCAATCAATCCCTACACAATTGCTGACGGATGTTTGCGCGTTTCCAGGCAAAGCTGTTCGGATCGAAGGAGATGAGACTATTGATGTTGGGTCTTGATGCCGCCGGAAAGACAAGTACGTCCGAGTCGTCCACCCCCTTCTCAAATTACGACTCACTGACACCTGCTGCAGCAATACTCTACAAGCTGAAGCTGAACCAAGGAGTCACCACCATTCCTACCGTCGGATTCAACGTCGAGACCGTCACATACAAGAATGTCAAGTTCAATGTCTGGGACGTCGGTGGTCAGGACAAGATCCGACCTCTTTGGCGCCATTACTTCTCTGGTATGTCTTGCGGCGCGCGCCCGCTGTAATGGCCCCCACAAGGCTCCCACCGGCTGACAATGGTTCTGCGGGTTTCTAGGTACACAGGGTCTCATCTTCGTGATCGACAGCAATGACCGAGACCGCATCGACGAAGCGCGGCAAGAACTGCATCGGATTATCCAGGACCGTGAGATGAAGGATTCGCTGTTATTGGTGTTTGCGAACAAGCAGGATTTACCCGGAGGTTTGTTAACCCGTCCCTCCGTCCCATCTCGAGCCGTTGCGTGCACCCCGTGGGGTCTACCACTTCCGCCCAGGATACGGACGAACCGGTGGATTTTTGTGTTTAACGAACCGCGCTGACTGGATGCGAATTAGCCATGCCGCCGGCCGAGGTGACCGAGAAGCTTCAGCTTTCGAAACTCAAGGATAGGGTGTGGTACGTGGTACCGAGTTGTGCCACTACGGGAGAGGGACTGTTTGAAGGCCTGGTAGGCAGCAATCCACCGTCTCATGTAGATGTGTGTGCTGACATGTTCGCGACAGGGTTGGCTATCCACAAACGTCAAGACCGCGACTCCGGCGGCACGCAAGTAATATCTGATCGGAGCATCCACCACCAAAAAGCAATACGAGGACATGAATTCGAATGGTGCGTAGGAGGAACGGAAGGAAGGAGGGAAAATATACGTTTTCTTCTTCTGAGAGTCTTCTTATAGACCTGAGCTTTTTCCAGCAAGCAAGGTGGGCCTGCCAGGCCTCTTTTTTTTTCTTTTCTCTTTTCCTTTTTTTGTTTCTGTTTCTCATTTTTGCCGTTCGTTGTTAGAGGGAAGTTTTTCCGCGTCACTCACAACTCTCACTCTCAGTCTCAGTCTGAATCTTTTCCTACACCTCCTGTCTGTCTCCTCGCCGATCGCGATCGCAATCGGATCCACAAGCTCAGCTCAGCTTCAGCTTATCCTTCCTATTTTCCCTTTTTTGTTGTGTCTTGCTTGTCCGTATCTGTGTCTGTATCCGTGTCTGTGTCCGTCTGTGTCCATCTGTGTCTGTTTTTGTGTTTGCAAACCTTTCTAAATACCCCCCCTTTTTCACTGTTTTTTTACTACTACTACTGCGGCTGCCACTGCTGCGGTTACTCCATAATGGTTTTTAATTTATGACCCGTTACGTTTTGTACCTTATCCTACATACTTTTACCTCACTTACTCATCTTATTCCCTTCGTCATCTGAAGTTGTATTGTATTACCACCACCACTATCGTTGTCGCTGTTTTATTATCACATTGCTTTTACTATCTAGCACTAGCCGCTGGAATTCAACTGTTGTTTTCTTTCTCTTTTCCTTGAACTTGAACTTGAACTTGTAAGCTGTAGTGTAGTCGTTGTCTTTGGTTTTTTGTATTTGTTGTTGTTTGTTGCTTTGTTGCTTTTGGTTTTGCCGCTTTTGTGTTTTTGGTTTTTGTTGTTGCTGTTGCTTTATGCGTTGATTTGCGTGGCATTGTGGGGCATTGTGTGCGGTGAAGGCGAAGGTGAAGGCGAAGATGTCGTCCATGGGGATAGATTGTGGTGGTGGTGGCTGCGGCTGCGGTGGTGCTCAATGGGGATGGATGGAGGGGAAGGAAGGATGGAGGAGAGGAGATGCGGGATGGGAAGGAGAGATGGAGGAGGGGTGGGCGGGGGGAGAATTGATATTCACTTCTACTCTACTGTACACGTGCCCAGTATCGGTGGCGGTCGGAAATTATGACATGCGTCCTTCACCTCCTTCCTCAACCTCAACAGCAGTCGTCACTCCACGGATGGATGGACGGACGAACACGTGGGGATCGGGGGCGGGTGATGGTGAGGTGATGGTGATGGTGATGGTGATGGTGATGGTGATGGTGATGGTGATGGTGATGGTGATGGTGATGGATGCGCTGCGAGGTTCAATAGGTCTCGCTCGCTCTGAATGGGGGGCTGAGGCTGGGAGTGGGCGGGTAGATGGGCTGGAGACTCGAGACTGGGGACTGGAGACTGGGTGGTGGGTGGAATAGGGACTCGAGACTGGATGGTGAGTAGAATGGAGGGTGCGGTGCTTTGCTATGTAGATACTGTTTTGTGCTTGTACCTAGGTTTTGAATGGGGTTTGGCAATTTACTGGTGAAATTTCTTCACGGGTCGGAGGACATCGCCTCGCTTTTTCACAATCACGGTCACATCCCATCACAGCATCACATGGACCAAAGATTGCGGAGTAATAGGAGCCGATACCGCGCCGAAGCGCAATGCCGACTCGTATGTAGATTTCCATTTACCACCCCCTTCAACTAGCTAGCTACTGCAAAGAAATACAACTCAAATCCACCACCCGATCCCAATCCCTTCCTTCACATCAATCGCGGTCCCATAGGACATCCGACTTCGTCTAAGCGAAGAGCTTGTGCTCGAGAGTCATATCCGATTCGGGAGCGAGCCCGACGCAAGCCCTGAAGATGTTGGACATGGCAGCGCGCTGCTTAGCGAGCGAGTTGATGACGGGGGTACCAGCGGGGGTGCAGGGAGCCTTGAGCATGTACGAGAGGATGCTCAGGACGGAGTGGAAGCCCTTGTACTCCTTAGTAGCAGCTCCAGAGGTGGAGCTCGACTTCCACGAGATACGCGTCATCAGCTCGGCAAGGACGCAGAGGTCGATGATGAGCGGGGACGCGAGCAGAGAGTCCTCGCAGATATTGGTCATCGAGATCGACTGGTGGCCGCCCATGAAGATCTCGGCGTAGTACTCATCCATAGCGCGCTTGTGGTCGCCGACCGCCGGCATGTACTTGATCACGACGGTGTGGTCGGGGTGCTCGTCCTTGGCGTAGAGGATCGAGTTGGCGGCGACCATGTCGTCAACAACGTTGGACTTGGAGATCTCCTTGGAGCGGAACTGCTGCGGCGCGTTGAGGTTGAGACCGTCGTTGTTGCCGAGGAAGTTGAAGGAAGCGATCGAGGTCAGCTTGATACCGGCGTTGATCAGGAAGTCGACGAGGGCCGACTTCATTTTGGTCTGGCCCGACTTGAAGTCGTCACCTCCAACGAATGCACCCTTCTGCTCGGCGAGCTCGATGCAGCCCGGAACGAGGGTGTTCTGCGGGGAACCGTTGATGAAGGGGACGCCCTCGAGGATCGAGGCGACGGCGAAGACGGTGGAGGGGGAGACCTCGTCGTGGGACGACTCAATGGCGCTGAGGAGGTTCTCGGCGGTGTCGTTGACGCCGGGGATGATCTCGGCGTAACGCTCGGTGTTGGCGGTCCAGAGGACGATGACCTTGTCGAGGCTGTTGGACTCCTTGAAGTTGCGGATGTCACCGCGGATCTTCTCGAGGTGCTCGGCCTTGGTGCCGGTGAGGAGGTTGTTGGCACGGTCCTCCTGGTTGGCGGCGATGAAGTCGGGGTAGTAGATGCTGGGAAGTGGCACCATCTTCTCCATCTCGGCGCGAACCTGCCTCTTGAGGTCGGGCTCGAGGACGGCGGCACGGTCCATGGCATCGCCAAGGTTCATGCCGTTGATGTCCCAACCACCGAGAACGAGGTCGTTGGGGTGGGCCATGGGCAGGACGTCGTGGAAGGGAATGTAGACCTCCTCTCCGGTCTCGGCATCATTTCCGAGCTTCAGAGTCGAAGCCATGATGACGGAACCGTAGTAGTTGGACTTCTTCTGGCCCTCACGTGACTCCCAGGTGAGGCCGTTGCGGTTGGCGATGATACCAGCGGTGACGGTGGAACCATTGTTTCCACCCCAACCGACAAGCATCAATCCGACCTTGCCGACCTTGCGGTCCACCTTGAAGTCGTACTTGGTCTCAACGGGCTGAGCGATGTACTTGCCGGTGTCGGCCGCCTTGGCGACCTTGGTGGTCAGGTACGTGTATGTGGACTTGATGGTGTCCTCCGTGTACTGGACATTGGGAGATTGGACCACGAAGAGATCACGACCGGTATGAGCGGGGGCAGCAACAGAGCCGTTGCTGCCATCGCCGTTTGCGTGAGGGGCCATGATGATGATTTTGGAGGTGGTAGGAGAGATTTTAGATGGAGAATATTAAATCGGAACACCCGCCGGAAGGAGCTGAGCGGTTGCTACCGTTATGGGGGTGGTGAACGCTGCGGAATTCATGTTAGCATCGTGTACGAGCCAGCAAACAAGCACGACTGAAGTAATTGGATAACATACGAGTTGAGGAGAGTGGAGAACGTGTTTGCGACTTTTGAGGTACCGGACTCGAAGTGTGAGTGCCGGTGAAACGATGGAGAAAAGGGGATGTTCGAAAAGGGTTGGAGTAGTTGAAGCTGTGCGAGTTGACGAGACGAGACGGTACGATACAATACGATAGATCAATGGATGCGATGATGATGATGATGAGGATTGAGGAAGACGCGGCGGGGTGCGAAGAACTTTATAGATTTGGCTGGAGAGCTAGCCAGGTACGAGTAATAGGTACGTACAACCAGGACATGGTAGATACATGGTACGTACGACCAACACCGTCACGCTCGCCCGTTTTCCCGACCGCCCACGGACCACCGTCCCCCCGTCCCCCTCCATGCGTATGTAGGCTCCAGACCAAACCAAACCCACCCACCCGTCCCCGTCCCCATCTCGCGGATTGGATAGAGCGGGGTAAAGCGGGTTCCGAAGAGTGAGAGTGTCCTTTTTTCCGCGGCACTTGGGTGTTGGGGGGGAGGAACTGTCACTCTGTCCTCAACCGAGCATTCCGTGTGCCTGACTGCCTGTGCCTGTGCCTGACCAAGACCCTGGACATGCCGGCGCCATCCCAACGGCATCTCTGTTCTTCTTTTTTTTTCTTTGCTGCTGCTGCTACCCTCCCTTCCAGAGCCTCCCCGCCCCCCAACACGGCAATGCCGGAGAACGAACGATGCACGCGAGGAGACTACCACAGCCGGGAAAAAACGCTGCAAGCCAGTCCCAAGAAGGGGCGCAGAACGCCATCGACCGACCAACCGACCGACTCAGCAGTTTCCGCTGGTGCGCTGTCAATTATCATGTAGGTACATGAATCCATACATACGTCTTCGAAATCCTCCGGTAAAGCAGCATCCGTTCCGCGCTCCGCTGCAGGAAGAGGAAGAGGAAGAGAAAGAGGCATGTACAGCAGAAGAGGCCATGTGGCATGTGTGGTCGTAGTGATGCCGGTGGTGGTTGGGTGGATATGTAGCCTGTGGCCCTGTGGGAGGCAACAGCACAACACAGAGCGAGAGATCACGATGGGGAGGGGGCGGGCGGTGATGGCTACATACCGTATGCGAGTGTGAAGTAAGTACCGGGTAAGTACCTGTGTACTTACCTGGATACTTGGTTACGTTACTGCACAGTGCTATGTGCGGTGCATGTATGTATATATGAAGTATGTATGCTGCCATGGTGTTGGATGCTGTTGTTGTTAACGAATGTTGTTCTTTTTGTTTTTGCAGAACGGTGAGTGCTCTGGTGAGTGCATTGATCTGAGCTCGGCACCTTGGCGAGTAGAGGAATGCACACCGTACACATAACGGCCAGATATGGAGGGGGGGTTTCAGTTTTCGGTTTTCTTTCCTCCTCCTTCTGAGCCTCAGAGCGTAACGGTTCGAACGGCAGAAGCAGAACAGCGCAGGGCAAAACGTGCGTGCGTAACGAGTGCGGATTGGATTGTATCATCTAGCATAGGTATCTAGCATATTGCGACATTGCGGTGTGTGGGGAGTTGGGAACCGGGCCCGTTTCAATGATGGGCAGAAATGGGCGGGCAGAAATGAATGGGTGGGCAGAAATTGGGGGGCGGAAATGGCTGGCGGAAATGGCTGGCCGCTGGGCACTTGCGATTGGCGTTTAGGTTTGGGTTTGGGTTTCGGTTTGGGTGGCTGGTTGGCGTGGGTGCGGTAGGAACACACGTTTCAACGGTGCCGACATCGTGAATGGGCGTGATGGGATTGAGCTCGTTTATGAGGATCAACTGACTCGAATTCGGATGGCGGATGATATTAGGCCTGGTTCCGAGGATTGATTGACTGGATGGTTAATTGACGGATCGATTGACTGGATGGTTAATTGATGGATCGGGTCGATTGGATGCTCGTTAATTGATGGATCGGATAACCCAATAGCCGATTGATGGATTGATTGATGGATTGATTCGGGTGCTGAGACCGAATGGGTGATTGAGGGATCGTGATGACTGAATGGTTAATTGGCGGGTCAGGAAGACTGAATGGTAGATTGATTGTTCGATTAATTCTCGGTAGTTACTCTACCAGTATCGATTGACTGGATGTCTGATTGACATGGCTGATATTGAGCGATTATCGATTCCGGTATTGGTTGCACCCGAGCGGATCTGGAGATGCGGTTACTCTACTCTAGTTACATACTCCACACACTGATCCATATTACTCTCCGCTCCACTCCACTCCAACCGTATGCACCCAACAAGTACAAGACATAGAGTGTGGTAGAGTACATTCACTGTCACTCTAAAACTACATCCACCACCACCACCACCACCACCACCACCACTGCAGCCTGCGAAGCGGACACGGTGCCGAAGACTCTCCGCAGTTATGCCCAACCATAGCTGCCCAACCACTGCCCAACCACAGCTGCATACGGTATGTATGCATCTCGCATGCCTATGTAACCATTCTAACCATTCTAACCCATTTTCCAGTACTAGCATCTCGTAGCGTCGCCATCCCAGCTTCCTCCCCCTGCCAAGCTCCATCACATCACATCACATCACGCCAACCGGCCGATCTCCGGCCTCAACCGATTGTGCCCCGTCCCAAGTTCTGATTGGTCGCGACTTGGAAGCTTGGAGGGCTTGGATGGATTGGAAGGACCGATTTTCGCGGCTGGCGGCTGGAAGGCCGAGGCTTCGACGACAGCAGCAGCCTGGTGAGCGAGAGGGAGAGTGTGAGGGAGGGAGAGGGAGAGGGAGATGGAGAGGGAGACATGTCGTGCGTGCCTGCGTACGTGTATGCGTGCGTGTGTGCGTGTGAATTAGTTGGAGATGGCAGCTGTGTACAGCTTATGTGCAGCTTACAGACACCGTGGCCTGGTGGTTGCATACACGATATGTGTGATGATAACTACACCGGGCGCAGAGTGTCAGAACTCGTGCGTGCGTGCTTCGTGAAGAATCCGCACACAGGTACTCTACATAGGGCAGCGGCAGCGGCAGCCACACGATTGAGTACCGTATGTATGTATCTATACACCGGCTCCAATTCCTCGCAGACAAGACAGCGGAGAAGGCGGACATGCCGTTCGAACTTCGGATTCTCTACGTACCGGTACTACGTGCTCTACTAGTATACGGTACCGTATACGGTAGGCGTGGAACTCCTTCGACGTCGCTCTTCGCTCTTCCCTCCTGGGCCCTGGGCAGTGGGCAGTACTTGGGCAATGGGCCCTGGCCGACGCGCCATCTTCCAACGACGCAGGGTCTCAGGTCAGCCCTTGGAGACTTGGAGAGAGTGGCAGCTGGCATGCATGACATCTGAGATATGATATGTCGATAGATAGACAGGTACATACCCCAACAACAACAAAAACAACAAGAAATATAATGCACCGTCGTGTGATGAAATACATGTTTATGCACACGAACGAGGGAGACAGGCGTAACCATGGTGGAACATAGCTGAGTACATACCTGGCGTATCCCCCCACACATCACGATAACGCCGTGCGCCTCACGACAGGGCGTTGGAAGTTGGACTTATCTATCTATCTATCAGGTATCTACCTAGTGACGGGATCTCGATCTGTTTCCCATTTCCCAGAGTCCTGGTATGCATAGATATCTCGAACCCCCCCCCCCCCCCCCGACCCCGTCACCGACCGCTTTGCTTCTTTCGCTTTCGCTTGTTTCGCGTCTACGATAGATACATGCTTTCTTTTCCTCATCTTCCTCATCCTCGTCCTCCTCCTCATCATCATCTCCCTCCCCAGGTTCGCCAAATACTGCCCGCGTGTGGTTATAGGTAGTCTTTATCGGACTCGACATCCCACGGGCCACACCTCGGCGATTGCTCTGCTACGGGCAGCTGCAGAACAACAATGCCCGAGATCGTCGTCCAGCTATCCATCCGCCCATCCGTCCGGCAAGAAAGGCACGGAAGGCGCGAAACGCGAAAGGCTCGAAAAGCTCGAAAGCACGGAGGACACGGAGGGCACCGGTCAGTGTATAGCACCGTTGAGTATAGGTAGAGTATAGGTAGAGTATAGGTAGAATAGGCACTTGGGTACTTGGGTATGTACAAACTTTCTACCCGTGCCACCCGCCGGCGTGCGCGGAAAGTCAATCCAGCTCTCACTCTCACATAGGTAGGTTACTCTACCCATAGTTATATTTTGGGCAATATGGCTTCGTTTGCTTCTCGTTGGGGGCCCATTGGGGGCCCGGTGACGATGATAGTGGTGGTGTTGATGAAAATGTTGATGAAGAAGATGACCTTCAAATCTGCCTATATTGAGCCTCGAAACGGGCATACACAATACATTCTGGTGGCTGGTCTCCCCCCGCCCCCCAGATGTGCACACCTGCGCATCCACACATCTGCACTTCTGGATTCTGCACTGTTTTAGGCTTCCAGGCTGCCAGTGCCAGCCCCGCCGTGTAGGTAGTATTGCACTTTCGCTTTTATGTAGTGAGCCAGGACCACGGTTGCGAGGTTGAGCAGCGACACACGACCAGTGACCACGACCACACGACCACACCACCTCATCACACCACCAGACACGGAGAGCAGAGTAGACGAGACGAGATATCTCATCTCATCTCATCCGAAATCACTATACTCTCCTCTACTCTACTCTGCCATAGTACTCGTCCTATTCCTTCCTTCCTTCCTTCACAGCTACTCTCCTGTACTCTACCTTCTCACCCAAGACGCGCCTGCGACCGCTCGTGATTGGTGCTCCTCCCTCTTTCCTCATTTCTCGGATGCGCGGAGTGGCTAAACCGCTTCCCCCCCAGTCCCCAGTCACCCCAGTCCTATGTACGGCGGTTGCTTTCTCTCACATCCCCGACACCTTCATCCTCACCATCCCCCCCTTCCTTCCTTTAGTTTCAGGGAGGGGGACGGGGGGGTGCTCGCCAATTTATATGTCCACCGCCGTTGCGGACGTTGCGGACCCTGAGCCCTTTGCAATAGGTAGGAGGTTAACTCCTCTATATAGCAAGAGCAAGTGGACGACGAGCGACGAACGGGGAGCGACGAACGAGGAGCGACGAACGAATCGCCTCAAACGGGGAACGCCCCCGAGAAAGTACGGTAGTGCAGCAAAGCTTGTGATATGTATAGTGGTTAGGTATCCGACTGGCGCTGTTCGCCGCTGTTCGCGGCGGCGTGCGAGCGAGACAGAAACGTGGATGTGATGTGGAGGATGTGGAAGTGGAAGGGGAAGGGGCAGAAAGTGATGAAGTGAAGAAGTGAAGGAGGAAGGAAGGTAGTTGGCCGGGAAGCTGGAACTGGATGTGGAACTGGATGTGGAACTGGATGTGGAACTCGATATGGATGTGGAAGCTCGAATTGACCTGAACTGGGGAGGATAGGATCAATAGAGTAAAGTAAAGTACAGTAGAGTAGAAACGCCCAATCACTCCCCCCCCTCCCCCTCCGTCCTTATGGACTGGGCCATCCTATCCCTCCCCCCCCTCCACACCCCCCCCCCCCCAGTAACCCCGTACAAAACGCGATGCTATTACCGCCGATTCTGCTCCTCGGTTCTCTTATAACCGCCTCTGGGATCTGGTCTGGTCTGCGTGGTTTCACTCGCCTGTCTGTCTGCTTACTTGGTTTCTTACTTGCTTTGGTTGCTTGCTTTGCTGCTGCGCTGCTGCTTCGAACTCCATCACATCCAACCCAACCCAATTCACGAGTCACCGACGCCTTTTTTGTCCTGGAATATTTCCCGCTGGATCTGGAATACATACCGCAGACAATACAATACGATACAATACCCACCCCACACTTCAACTTACATAGATACCAGTGCCCAGTCCGCGCCGCGCCCGGAGGATACTATCCATTCATTCATTCATGAGAACCCGCGACCTCAAGTAACCAGCTGCCTCGATACAGATATATACTCAAGTTGCCATACAATCAAGAAGAAACAAAAGAAGAAGAAGAAGAAGAAGAGGAAGAAGAAGAAAAAACACCTCACTCATCCCTCCCCGGACTCCAGAAAATCGACCAAAGAATCTCCGCAAGCATTGGATGTCTCTATCGACCCGCAAGTTGACCGGTTAACTATCACTCGGTGGAACGAGCTTCGGAACATCTGGAAACCTCCCCCATCAGCAACCAACCTATATACCTACCGCACATACCATATCCACACCCACGCCGCAATTCATGGCTACCGCTACAACCATGAGGGAGAACGCCCAGCTGCCTTGCATCAAATGCTCGGTTTGCGGCCGCGACGTAGAGATACACTTGATGGGAGACCACAGCTGTGGGGAAGTAGCGCAGGCAGGTGTGTTCCACGATATACACATACGCACAACCCCAACGAGTGTGTCTACATGTGGTCATGGAACTAATGCATGGTAATAGGTCCTCAATCGATGAGACGGCCTTCTGCCCCATCATCTTCGCAGAAGAAGCAGTTCAGACTTCCACAGATAGATCCTTACATTGCGAGTACGTACATGCCTACATGCCTCGTTTTGACACCCGTCAAACCATCCATCCGTGCTGTTGTTTTATGCTCTCTTCGGACTCTGACGGTTACAGTAGACAAGTCCTTCCTGGGAGTCGACTCCCTGACGCCATCGAGCAGTGCCTCAGGCTCACGGGCACATTCGCCGACGACGCCGCAGGATGGGCAGCCACTGGAGACTCCCGCGTCCGCGTACAACATCGACTGCGCGTTCCCGCTGTTCGAGCCCGCGCGGAAGAGCCACATGCGCGAGGGCTCGCAGACGGTGCCGCCGCCGCTGCAATCGCATGCCAACGGCACGTATGCATCTCGTCCGCAGTACTCGCCAGGCTTGCCGCCGTCGCCCGCGCCGAATCCCATCAATGCCTTGTCGTTGATGGCAAAGATGAACACTATCGCCCCGGGGCCGTTTGAGCCAAGGAGGGGGAGCAATGATAGAGGAACCGAGCGTGCGCCGCCGCCCGCCGCTCGCTTTCCCGATAGGAGCTCGTCGAGGAAGTACAGCGTCGACCACACCCTCGGGCGGGAAACGTTCGAATCGAGGGAGCATGCGCATGAGGAGGCGGGGAAATACCGCTGGAAGGAATCGGCGCGGGGAGATCATCGAGGGGATTCGGCGGCTGCTGCCGCTGTCCCACGAATGCTGGGGAGAACCGAGAGCATCACCGATCCCTCGCTGAACACACCTCACGGCCACCGCCTGACCCGCGCGGAGACAATGCCGAATCCACAATTTCAGGGAGAAAATTTGGTGCCAGAGTCGCCGAGTAGGGCAAACACATTTACCGCCTCTGCGAGATCGTCCAGGACTCCGAGGGCACCGCCGCATCCCGGAGTGGGACTCCCTCGCACTCCCTCGCAGTTTCGACGCAATAAGGAGATGCAGGCGAAGGAACTCCCTCTTCCTCCTCCTCCTCCTCCTCCTCCTCCTCCCTCCGCACTGCCAGAACCGCCAGCGAGGGAAAGATCGCCGGCTTCACGACAACTCTCACCAACCTCAGCTGGCGGATATGAGCGATCACAGGCACACGCCGCCACGCTGTCGGTATCGAGCAGCTCGTCTTCTGCGCTCTCGCATCTGTCCAAGAGCTCCATGTCGAGCCCGCCGGCCTCGGACATATCCGAGACATCTCGAACGAAGGGTCCGCAATTCGTGGACCCGCGGACTTTCAACCACGACCAGCACAAGCGTCCCGTAGTTCCTACCAGCACCGGCGAGGAAATCGACAACCTGATACACGACCTAAACTTTCCCCAGCCGTTGCGGCGGGAACGGACACCGCCATTCGTCCCGCCCAAGAACGACCGCGACGCCCGCCGGCCCAGCGAGACCTCGCCCCCCGTCCCCCTCAAGAACGACCGCGACGAGGTCCGCCGCCGTCCCAGCAACTCTTATTCCCGCGTTCCCCCGCCACTATCCAAGTCCCCCTCCCCGCCCGCACCGCCGAGCCGGCATGGCACGCCCGTCAGCCACGCCCCCAGCCGGCACGGCACGCCCGTCGGGCACAAGCGCAATCCCACGAGCAAAGGTCCGTGCCGGGGCTGCGGCGAGCAGATCGTAGGGAAATCTGTCTCCTCAGCCGACGGGCGCCTCACGGGGCGCTACCACAAGGCATGTTTCGTGTGCCAAACGTGTCACCTGCCGTTCCAGTCCGCGGAGTTCTACGTCCTCGACAACCTCCCGTTCTGCCACCACCACTACCACGAGCTCAACCGCTCGCTCTGCGGCGTGTGTAATCGTGGCATCGAGGGGCCCTGCCTCGAGACCGTGCAGAGGGAAAGGTTTCATCCGGGGTGCTTTACTTGCGTCGTACGTTTTCCCCCAATCTTGATCCCACAAGTAGGTGCTGACGAGAATGAATAGCAATGCCGCTGCCCCCTCGGCGATGACTACTACGAGATCAACGGGAAGGCGTTCTGCGAGCACCACGCGCGGCGGTACCTGCAGCGACCACCACGGCCGCACCCGCCGCCCGGCAGTGGGGCGAGACCTCCACACTCACAACACCCACACCCACACCCACACCAACACCAACACCAACACCAACACCAACACCAACCACAACACGGCGCTGAGCTGGCACCGCTAAATGTTAAGGTCGAGCGCAGAAGGACCAGGCTGATGTTTATGGGTGGCGAAGGCGAGGCGCCGAGGCAGGTGCCGGCGCAGGGGCCGGCGAAGGGGCAGGTGCAGGTGCGGGGGGAAGTGGAGGTAGTGGATGTTATGAGTAATCGGTTTTAATGATTTCTGTTTTATGGGAGGTTTTCTGGGGTTTCCGCCGTGCTGGCAAGGTTTTGTTGGTTACTTTCTTGTCAATATTATTTCACCCTTATGAGCTTTATTTTGGTATGATTTGTTGGGTTGTTTGGTTGGTTTTTGTTGGGTTGGGAAATCTGCGCACCCTTGATGTGTACGACGGATAATGAATGGGATGGATGAATGGGATGGATGGAATGGGGATATTGGGATGGGATATTGGGATGGATGGAATGGGGATATTGGGATGGGATATTGGGATGGATCGGAATTTGGGATTGGAATTTGGGATCGGGATGGGATGAAGGACCACGGCGCATTCTCTCTTGCTGTTTCTGGCTGTTTCTGGCTGTTTCTTGAATCTTTCCTTGTATCATACTTTTTTTTTCTTCTTTCTTTCATTTTACCACCTGCTTAAGAAGTAGGTGCTTCCGATAATACAGTTGATACCGACTGGACACTTCTGAGTCCATGATGCCGATGTGGAGGTTATTTCTTGGTCGATGATCATGATGGATCATGGAGGTGATGATGCCGGTCCCTTCGCCATTGGTAAATGGCCATGTCTACGGGCACAGACTAGGTATCTAATGTTCCATCGTACCTATCATATCGTATCGTAGCCAGGTGGTAGGTGCGTACAACGATCAAATCTCGGAACTACTATCCGCCGCCGCCGCGTAAATCAAGAATCATCAGGTCAGGCGGTTAATCAAACCGTCCCCCGGTGCTCATCCGTCAACCCGGTGCAGCGGCAACCAAACGGTTTTTTTTCTTTGGAGTTTTGGTTTGTTTCATTCCGATGAGTGCTGGGGTGAGGTGGGGAGGGGTGAAGGGGAGGGGTTGAGTGGTTGAGTGGTTGAGTGGTGAGTGGTGAGTGGTGGATGAGATGGGATTACTACATACCTTGTACCCATCATCTGGTCGGTGGTGAATCTGTGGTCTCTACTGGTGATCTCTGCTGGTGCTACCTCGCCAGTCAGCCAGCAAATCGGTGTGGTGGGGGAGGGGGAGGAGATACTAGGTACCCATCATCTGGTCAGTGGTGATCTCAGCTGGATCCCCCGGCCAGCCAATCGGTAGAGTAGAGTAGGCAGAGTAGGATTGTAAGATTATAAGATTGTAGGAGCGGAGATTTCTGAGTAGGACTGTGGGACTGTAGGAGCGGAGATGGATACGCTGGTGTAAACCTGGTAGCTGGATGGCCCAGCTCAGCCCAGTCCAGCCCAGTCCAGCACAGCTCAGCTCAGTGTTCAGTTCAGCACAGCTCAGTTCAGCTGGGTACTGCACTCTATAATACAGGTAACTATTGGTAATTACCTACCTCCTACCCACCTATCAGGAGTGGAATCTGGGAGAATTTCGGGGAACTGGGGGGCCGCCTGGCGGAGACCAATAGCTTTACTGTTTACCAGGGGGCGGACATTGACATTGACATTGCCATTAACGCTCCTCGGTCAATCATTCGGCCATTCGGTCTGCCGGGGATACCATCCAGCATATCCAAACAGATTCTTCACGGGTACAGATACCTAATCCGCCACTCCACCACAGCACTGCTGCCGCCACTTGAAACCCGCCACTCTCCGCCACGCCACTCCATGCCCCGCTACATCCCCGTCACACCACGCTCCGCCACCCAACGGCTCTCGCTGTACCACCCCTCGCCACCCCTCGGCATCAAACAGAAAAGAAACATCTATGAAGTTTCAGGATCGCCTACACGTAGGATCTACCGTAACTGTTGCTGCATCCACTGCCTAGTACCTACACCATGACGCAGCGGAAACACTACGGTGCCAGTTAGTAGGTGTGTCATCACCAGCTCGCACTCGCGGCGGGGAAGCGCAAGCAGCGTAGTAGAGTGAGACAACGTGCGGCAGGGTGGTTCTTGGTTCTTGGTTCTAGGCTGTTGGTGATGATCGACCTACATAGGTGAAGGCAGGCTGACTGGCAGAGAGACATTCTGGGAAGGAAGGGGACGGTGGTCTACGATAAGGCTGAAGACATGCAGTTGGAATCGCTCCTGCAGTGCATACATGTTGACTCACTATGAACGCACCCGCGGTACACGATGACTCACTATGAATCCCCACCAGAAACGGAAACCGCGCAACTTTTGATGTCTCGAAATCCTCTACACCGTAGATCCAGTGGAAATCTGCCGAGCCGCACCCATCCCCCCATCCCATCCCATCCCATCCCATCCCGTGAACAAAGAACGAAACGAAACGCCCAAAGCATAATACTAGTTTGCAACGAGAAGGAAGATCTGGCAAGAAGAGAAACAAAAAAATGGACGAAAAAAAACACATTGATTTATTGACGCAACAAAGTCAAAGTCGATTACACCTTCGCCATCTTCTCCACCTCGTACTTGAAATCAAAGTAGGCCTTGTCGAAGTGGTGCACGCGGACGTAACCGTCTTCTCCGCCGGAAGCGTATCCGGTACCCATGGGGTGGCAGGCAACCTGTATTCTCTCCGTCAGCTACGATTCGTGCGGCAGCAGCCACGGCGGCGGTACTCACAGTGTTCAACGGTCCGAAGTGACCGCGGACACGTCCGACCTCGTCTTCAAAGATCTTGTGGAAGAACCGTGCCTCGAACTTTCCTTGTCGGGTGGATGTGGTGGTGACATCACGGGCCTCCTGTCCTCCTCCGAGGATGACAAAGTCCTTTCTCGCGGTAAGGGCAGCCGAGTTGAGGGGGGTGTCGGTCTGGTAGGTCTTGAGGGTTCGGAGGGTGTTGGTTTCGATCAGCTATTCGAGTCAGCATACCTCGTTCCCCAACTATACTTGCATATCCGCACGGCGTACCTTGGCCGACTTGTCCTTGGAAGCAGTAAGGAAGTATGTCCTGTCGGGAGCCATCTGGATATCGGTGATCTGCATGCCGGGCTCATGGGCCTGTGTGTCCTGGATGAGCTCTCCCGTCTTTCCATCGTACTGGCTCACGGTTCCGTCCTCGTGGCCGGTGATGATGAATTTGTTGAGATAACTCCAGGCGGCAACAGTAGCCTTGCTGTCATGGAATGTAATGGTGAAGAGGGGCTCGTCCGCCTGCTCAGCCTCGACATCCACCGTGATCGGGAACACAACAACGGTGCCCAGATGTCCCATGCGCATCTCCGTTACAGCCAGCAGCAGTGTGCCGTCATCCGAAAACTCAACACGCTTGACGGCCGTCGGAAAGTCCCACGTCTTCAAGCACTGTCCGGTCCGTACCTCCCACAGCTTAATTGTGTTGTCGGCCGCTCCGGTGGCGAGGAGGGTGGTCGTGGCATCGACATCAACGGTCCACAGCGCTCCCTGGTGGCCCTTGTATGTTCCGAGACGCTCGCCGTTTGCTGGCAACAGACACATCGGTAAGCTCGGGAGCCCAAGCATCGGTGGGTAAGTGCGACATACCAGAGTACCAAGCGCACACTATGTGGTCCTTCGCAGTAGAGAACAGAAGGTCACCTACATGGCGGGGTAGATCGTCAGCTTCCAATCCGTAGCGTGCATCGCGATGAGGGACGTTTATATACCATCTTTGTTGTATCTGCTCGCAAAGAAAACAGCTTTCTGTCAGAACTTGCCATGGTGGACACGGGGGGTAGGTTTTCGCTCGTACTTGATCTGCGTCAAACTACGCTCCTATAGATCCCACCACCTCTCGAGTTAGCGTCCTGATTCTTCCCTCAGACAACGGAAAACTGAGCAGCAGCATTTCGGCGTACATGTCCTTGCAATAATATCGGGCGCATGTTTGCTGATTTGAGGGTTCGTGGAAAAGGGTGGATTCGTGGATTCTTTGGTGGGGCGATAAGGTGTGGGGTTCGTGATCTTTGCCTGCAAGCGATTGATGGTTCTAGGACAGACCCAAGCCCTAAAGTGCGAAGGGAATTTTGAATCAAGAGGCTCAAAAGTCATGTGCCCAGAACGCTAGTCCGACTGTGCGCGACAGGCTTCTTGAAAGTTTGTGGTGTGGGGAACGAAGCCACGGATGGAGTGTGCACTGCAGAGGCGTACATCCAGAACTGGCTGGTCACTATGAGTCACTCGGCTAAATCTCTCCGACTCCAGGACTTTGTGCATGTGCAGAATTCCTCCGAGCGTTTCATTTGTCTGTCTGTCTATTTCCTCGGTTGTGGTCGAATCCGGTAAGTTCAATTCTTCAAGCTCGTCTCGAAGTTGCGGTTACATACGCATCACGGGTATTCTAAAACTACCGGATCGAACCGGTTGATACATGTACTCCGGGCACATACCTCGTACCCTACTACACCTCGTCTACTGATGAAACTCACATTCCAGTGGCGGAAGCACCCTCGGTCTCGAGTCCGGAACGTGATCTACTCGCCCGGAATCCAGACGGATCTACAGACGCCGTTACATATCTCTACCGTTCAAACGTGGCTTCGAACACATCTAGCCCTCAAGATATCGTCGAGCTTTGAAATTCGCCTCGGAAGACTCTGTGGCTCGCCGCGAGCATCTCAGAAGTGCAGCTTGTCTGACCCCCACGCAGGATGCAAGCCTCCTTAACGCCTCGCGCAATGCATCTATGTAGTCTTGAGACGTTGAGCGCTCGGCGTGAAGCAGGTAACTCCCAAGTACTCGGAACACTCATGACATCAATAATAGAGACGAATAAGAGGCATAAGAGCTCACTCGAACATAAAATATCATGCGTTCTTTCATCCAATCCCAAACGTGAAAATAGACAAGCCGTATGCGATGGTAAATTGGTGTTCCCTCCCTTCCAAACGCGGAACAGTGAACAAAAAAACGCGAGAGTAACATAGAAGTGTGGTGTCGATGCTATGGCGAGTATGGAATACAGCACAAAAAAACCCGACCAGAGGACCCACCAAAAGTATCATAGACATAGCAACGCCCACATGAAACCCCGAGGACACGTACAAAGAGCAGACACACCCCCTCACATAACACGAAAGAAAAAAGGCCAAAAAACAACATGTGCAAACAAATTAACCCCCATTATGCTGTTGAAGAAATGAGACGTGGATATAACCGTCCCGCAGCTCCCCAAAAATACTCCCGAGTCCCATCAATACAAGATAAACACCAAGCGATCATACACTCATAGATGCACAGGAGACAGCAGAACACCCAGGATAATCGATACTACTAGTGAGGATAGCTGGTGCCTTCGCACCGGGAGTTAGGAGAGCTCTCGATATCGGTACTGTCGTCGGCCTTGATGAATGATTCGTGACCTTCTTTATATGTGAGATTGCTGAGGTTCGTGCCGGGAGCTTGATGGTCGTAGTAGTCCGTCTTGTTGTCGCTGAAGATGCCGTTGTAAGGACCGCACCCAGTTGCGAGACTTGATTGCGGAGTATCGACCCGTGCTGCGGCCCACATGCCCGATAGCGGGAGCAGAATGGCGACCAGAGCTGGTGTGAGCTGCGAGAGCCCATCGATATTCGGGAGGACGGCGTCCATGAGCGAGAAGATGGCTGTTCGAGGGGAGGTCAGCTACCGCTTTCTGTTTCATTGTTTCGTGGTGAGAAATAATCGAGTACATACCGGGAAGGACCATAGTCTGGCATCCAATGGTGAAGATGATCTGGATAGGTCCGAACCTCGGAAGTTTGAGAACACGTCGTTGGTAGATGGCGTAACCCAACTTCAGGACGAATATCAGGCAGTAGAAGCAGATTGAAGCCGCAAACATCGCTTTAGCGGCGGTATATGTCCATCCTCCAGGGTAGGCCGTCAACGATATCGTCGCCATCCCGCTTTGAACCGTAACCACAGCGAAGAAGGACACCGAAACCAGTGCAATTGCGGTCGCCAAGAGAGTGATCATTAGGTTCGCCTTGGGGGATGTATAAACCACTCTCACTTGGATGATCAGCGAGATGTGAATGACGATCTGCAGCAGCAATCCGGTGACTGTTGATGCCACGGAGACATATCGCGGCGTGTACGGAAAGTTCGTAAAATCGCCGGAGAAGAAGGTGTATGTGTCGAAGAAGGGACCGAGATAATAGCATAGCGAGAGCGAGGCCCGAACGATCGTCGCAACCAGAGCGAACAAGTTGCAGACATGAAGGAAAGTCCGTCTCTTCTTTGCGTTGGTGAGAACGGTCAAAAGAACGAGGAGGATCCCACAGGCCCCGATCTGAACCGCGAACATGATGCTCCATTCCAGGGATTTCATCTTGTGGAAGTTGTACACCGTAAGAGGGATCGTGATGTTCGTGCCACCGGGGTAAAACAGCGTGATGGGCTGTGAATGGGGGTCGAAAGCTGAACTCGCCGGATCGACGAAAGGTCCTCCTTCAGTAGACATACCGATATCTGGGTCTGTCTTGAGATGTACGGTGTGGTAACGTCCGAAAATGCAGGAAGGATATAGTCGTATGCGAGGGAGCGGTGCGAATATGTTGAAGGAAGACGGGATGAGTGAAGGGCAAAAACTCTGATGAAGGAAGTGAATAATTCGGGAAGTTGAGCTTCAATATGTACGGTCCTGAACAGAGGACGATTGGGCCTGCGGTTCGATATATGGTTGGGGACGCCCATAACTGATGGAAAAACACCCCCAACTTTGACACCAATCTCCTCCACCAAAAAGTTTCTTTTGAACAAAAACTCGTTATTAATCGATAGATAGAGGTGTGTAGAAGCATGAAATAACGAGCTTTTAATTTTAAAAAGCGTGGCTGATTTTCCTTAGCATTTAGAAAAGAGGCATTTTTGGTGGGACGCTCCCCCGCTAGAACCCCTGAAACTTCCGGATCAGGTAGCCGCTAGCTATCTTCTGTATTACATAAGCCTCGGTGAGTATATCTGGGCCATCGACAGCCCGGTCAGGTCAGCTGAGGACCTTTTTAGGCTAAAATATGGACTAAATAGGCCAAAAATGGAAGTAAAAATGCCATTTTTTGCTAAAAAAAACTCAAAAATGGCTATTTATTACCCGTTTTGTAATTAAATTCGATTTTTCCACGAATGTCCCACCCCATCGGCTCTAGGAGTCCCCAACCATATTCGGCGACCATGGCCACGGCGTTTCCCACTCAGCCCACGCAGCTGCCTATGCAGATTCAATCGCGATCAATCACGGCTAACGCAGGATAACCTGCGATACGAAAGCAGGGCTTATGATAGGAAGTTTGACAATTTTCCTCATGGTTGGGAGCGCCTGTGCGGGGGGACCGGGGTGGGGGGCGGGAAGGGTTGTTGTCTTGGGCCGTTTCTGGACATGCGGGTCGATGAGAACAATAGCAAGACTTTTATTACGATTGTGCCTCAGCTCGGCTTGCATGCAGTAGGCAAACAACCCGGTTTTAGAAGAAGAACCACAAAGAGCACGGTGGCTCGCTTCGGTGGGAAGAAGACCGCCTGTCCAATGGCATGCCACGATGGAGAAACCAGCGTATTTATAGTTGAGTTTCGGTTGCATACACGGATGAGATCCGAGATCGTAACATGGGAGACAGCTCAGGCGAGTGACGGTGGGAGTTGGAGATTCTCTCCCACGCGAGAAGCTCCGCTAGTCGTGCGCATATAACGTCGCATGACAGCAGCCCGAGTTGAGCGAATGTGGGGGCCATCCATAATTCTTCACGATGAGGGGAAGTGAGGTGGGATATCCAGTTCCGTGAGATGTATGAAGAGTACTCATTACCTACTAGTGAGAGACCTCCGACGGGTACGGGCAACTGGTGAGACTGATTGAATTGACTGGAAGGAAGCAAGAAACGAAAGCAGCCTCGTGTCTGATGTGTTGAACGACACCGACCGACCAGACGAACATAGCAACAGAGAACATCTCAACGTTGAGGCCACCGCATCGGGTCTGGTCCCCGAATTCCACGCTAGTAGACCACAGATGAGATCTGCTGACTCATGCAATACTCGAGTGATCTAGTTTACAGAACTAGCGGGCTTGGCATGTCGCGAACGTGAGATGAATAGACGCTTGAATACAGCCAACAACATACCGGTAGCTCAAACCACTCCTTCAATATTACTACCACCAGCACAAAACCCCCTCCAATCGTTATCGGCCGACTGACTACAACACCACATCGAGCACGTCGTTTCTTCCATTACCGGGCAGCTTGCTTGTTCGCCTCCTCCTCCGTCACATTCCCCCTCCCGCCCCGCACCTGGCACCAGCATAGAGCCGCAAACCATCGACCACGCGCCGTACGCACTTCAATACCACACATCACATGGCCGCTAGAAATAGACCTCGAGCTCTGCAGAGCCATGAAGCAGATGCGCACGAGGAGCGAGAAATGTGGTCGAAAATCGTGAATGATCTGAAAGATCGGACGCGTCAGTCGAAACGCATCAACGAGGTTGCCGACGAGATAGTAGCCCTGGAGGCTAAATACGAGGGCAACGAGAGTGGTGAGCAGGACTCCGTTCTTCTCAGCACTAGCTTGAGCATGCGCCCTCAGCTTTGCAGTTTCGCTGTTGTGCATGTGCTAAATGCGACGCAACCCGCAGAGATGACGCTCAAAGACATGCTCGCCTTGGAGCAGCTGTACGAAGAGCAGATGCAGCTATCGAACGACGAAAGCGAGTACGTTCATCTTTCCTATCCTTAATACGGATATCCTCCTCCTCCCTCCTCCCCCTCCCCCGTCACCATCTGCGTAGCCCATTGATCAAGGGCCATCGGTGACTAACCATCCTCCACCATAGTTCACTACGCAATGTCATTGAAATCAATGATCTTCTGATTGCTCTACGAACCGCTACCGAAAGCGGTGACAGAGGAGGAGGTACATCCCGCCATCTCCGCGCGCGTTAACTGCTTTTTCCTTTCTATCTGCATACAACTGGGTCCGTTTTTCTCCTACCCAGAGCCCCTGTTTTGCCGTATTTCCTGCAGCGAAAGAAAAACAGTTTGTGTTGTTTGCCGTGGTCGTCGTCGTTCGTCCGTCGTCGAAAATCCCGTGTTTGTATTGTCGTTCTGGAACACCGACGCAATGCTTACGACGCTACAGTCTCGCAGCAGAAGAGAATCAAGCGAAAACACGACGAGTCAATGTCGGCAGATAGTCCCTCGAGCCGGAATCCTAAAATCCAGAGGAGCAATTCGGCTGCGCCGATGGATGGATTTCAGATGCATGCGGAGGTTGCGTATCGGTTACCAAAACAAAAGGGTGCGGAGTACGAATGGATACAATGTACAATTACTGGTATTCTGGGTGGTGACGGAATAAAACGCAAGTAAGTCTTCCTGGTTGCTGCCCTGCTGTGCCTCCCAATGCCTGACCACATTCTAGGTATGAGGTCCAAGACCCGGAACCGGATGAGGCCGGAGGCCACGGCACCAAATACAGGGCTCTCGCTAGCGCCTTGATTCCGATACCCAGGGACTCGGCAAACCTCCCACCATATCCTCCTGGAAAGCAAGTGCTGGCTCGATACCCGGAAACGACCACCTTCTACCGGGCCGAAGTGATGGGCACCAAGGTATGTCGAACCCAGCATGGTGGTGTTTCTCTGGCATATGTCTAACTGGTCTACCCACGAATAGCGAGATGGAACTTGCCGCCTCAAGTTTGACGGAGAGGAGGAGGAGGGAAAGGAAACAGAGGTGGAGCGACGGCTTGTGCTGGACGTCGGTGACAAGCGGTGATGGTGGATGGATGGGCCTTTTTACTTTCATCTACCAGGAAATCATTGTATCGGCGCTGGTATTTGTTGCGGTTTTTGGTTGTCTTGGAGCACGGTGTCAAATGTCTGCTTTGCTTACTTTATACGGCCTGTCTTTCTTCTTCTTGAGTAAATGCGGTCTGCCCTTCTCCTTAAATACGGCTACAATAGTTTCAATTATAATCGTTGGGGGGTTTTCGTTCATCGGTCAGTATCATTGCATGTTTTCCCATACTGTTCTGAGTCCCGGTGGTTCATGACGGCGGATACCTAGGTAAAGTGCAATCGACCCGGTAAAACGGGTGTGGTGTGGCCGTTTCGACAACTGTCACCTGCAGCCAGCAGCAACGCCATGACCATGGGCGCGTAAACCTACACCATCTCGCACCATCCCGATCACCACCACGTGCGCGCGCGCCGCAACCTTCTCGAGCTCCCACAACGGCCACAGCAATGTCAACGTCAACCCCCACCACCACCCCCACGGAATTCTTCTACAAAACCCTCAACAGCCAAGATACCTCTCCCCCCATCTCCCTCTCTCCCTCTCTCTCTTCCCTCCGTTCTCCCTCCGTTCTCCCCTCGTTCTCCGCTAACGAAACCTACTCTCCCGACTCCTAACAGCCACAGACTCACTACGCGCGCACCACGACACACTGCGCAAACAGAACGATGCAGCGGCGCAGACCGGCCTGCGCATGGAGGACACACTGAGGCCCGTCGAGGACGGCATCAGGATCGAGCGCGAGAGGGAGGAGCGCGAGGCTGTGAGGATGGAGCTGGTGGCTGCGAATACGGCGGAGAACGAGGGGACGGGGGAGGGGGCGGCGGAGGATGTGGGGGTTGTTTAGAGGGGTGGAGGGAGGTGAAGGTGGAGGTGGAGGTAATGGGAGCTCTGGATGGCGGGGTTGTGTGCTGCCGGATAACTTGCCCATGGCGGGGGAGGGGGGAATGTGTGCCGAAACGTCTGAAAGAGAGCTTGCGGACCGGATATGAAGTGCTTGACGTACATACCGGCGGGTTTGCCCGGTTTCTTGCCGGTGAAGTCGTACCGGGAATTGGATATATACTCATGCTCGGAAATCCAAATCCGCGGCAGGGTATAACTACGACGATGTTCCGATCACGATGAAAGGGAACTGCTGCTAGCGCTTAGGTAGGTAGAGTACCTACCTGGTAGGTGCTCATATGATAGATTCGGTAAAGGACTGGTGAGCGTGTGTAGGAATCTTTGCAATTGCACGGCACAGACGTTGTCGTCCAAACTTTCCCTACGCGTCCTTTTTGCTGCTGGCCACGGTGGAACTGATCTGCGGCGCGGGGCGGGGGCGGGCACGGACGGCGGCGATAGATTTCCATCAATAGCGGTGAGATGACACAGTATGTATCTAGATACAGTTTTATTCCCCTCGGGCTTTGCGATATAGATGCTCATCTCAGTTGAAGAGAGATGGCTGGCGGTGATACAGTTACATACCCTTCTCTAGAGTAGAGAACCCACGTTTACTCCACCTGCGAGAAGATGGCCACGCTGTGTGTTTGGTGACGACGATCGAATCGGCACGCGGAGAGAAATCAGATCATCGGATATGTAGCCGTTACCGTTCCTCTAACGTAATTTAGCTCGACCAACAAGCTCTTTTCTTCCGGCCACTTTTTGTTTGTGGAAGGCCCGTGCACTCCTCACTCCTCACTCCTGCATGCTTCTCGGCTCATCATTTTGTGACCGTCCTTATTCCCTTATTCATGGTGTTTTCCGGCTGTTCGGCAACTTCATACTTTGCTTTAACTACGATATATGCTCTATATGCCCCGGTGCGGCGCAGGGCGTGGTTGTCGGTGTTTACACAGTTTATGCTCGCCATGTGGATGTAGATACGACCATCAAGGGCAATCACTCGTCTACTACCACTACCCAGAGGAGCATATGTGGTATGTACTCTGGATGCAGCAGCGCCGTGGTCAAACCCCACCAGCGGACTGAGTGCGTCGCCGGATGGCCGTCCAGTTATCTATCTCCCGCCGGCGGTTAAAGAGGCCCAAGTTTTATGTCTATGCACTGCGTTGGCTGCCGCGATGAACATCATAGGAGCGATTGTGGATGTACATATCATACCCTACATATCCTGCGGAATTTGAACTGCGAATCGGGGGATGTCTCCACGTCCGTGGGCTCGTGGTATCTGTACGCCCACAACTGCCGAGACCTCCGCATCTCCGCATCCACCATTGCCACCACCTCCTTCACCACCACCACCACCACCACCATCTCCCCTCCATTCATTCACGGTTTGGTAGTTCCCCTCCTTCCCACGACCCCGCCGCACCCGCTGCCCCTTTCGTCGCTAACCTCCTTACATCTGTAGAACAATGGTTTGACGATGTGCATCTGTGTTGCCAAGTCGGAGCTGTAACCGTCAACTTTTGGTGGGTGGAATGGGTATTATCGTATTGTCATGGTTAGAGTACACATGTGCCGCGTAATTGGGAGGAACGTTGCCCCGCGTCCCTCACATCTATCTATTCGCAATGTAGTTATGCCTTTGGTGTTGCCCGCCCTCCATAGAGTGTACGGGGCTCTTCTCCTCTTCTCTCTGTCTACCTACGATACCTCTCCTCACCTTTTCTGCGGTTGTTGAGCTTCCCAACTCACATATTTGCTCTCTAGCGCCTCTGTGAGCCACTTGCTAGGTGCTTCGGTAGGGTTCACTGAACCAACTCTTGGTCCCTGGAGACAGCGAATAAGGCAGCGGATCACCTTTCCAAAAGGAGACGACGAAAAAAGTCGGCCATTCGCCGAAAAGGTTAAAGGACTCGCTATCTCCTTTCCCTCAGAATTCCGTCCGTTGCTACCCAATCTCTGTGTGCCCCTTGCTCTCCTCCCCTCCTCCTCCTCCTCCTTCTCCTCCTCCGCCTACGCCTCTCCATATCATCTAGCAATTTGCATCCGGGCAAGCTCGGTCAAGAAACATATCTGTGAGTACGATTCTCGTTATTGTTGTTGTTGTTGTTGTCGTTGTTGTTGTCGTGTGCCTGATCCTCGGCTCCGACGAGTTCCCGTACACAGTACGCGCTTGGATGTCCCTGCTAATATAACGGCTCATGGCAGAGTTGTTGATTTGACCCGCTGAGCTTCTCTGTGTCTTTCTGAAACAGAAAAAAAAGCTTCCTCGCACTCCTGCCCTCATTCAGTTGCGAAACTCTTTTGCACCATCCATTCCGGAGGCAACAAGAACTACGCGCAGTCCAGCCCCCTGACGACCTCGGGGTCTCAGAGACGACACAGTCGACACAATGCATCTACCTTTCTTACCACCGGCCTTCACGACGAAGAAACCGCCGCCAAAATGGGACCCGTTCACTCCGGCGTTCTCACGGCTATCGCGGAGTGCCACCACCCACCCGGTGCAGACGATAGTAATTGTCGCTCTACTGGCCTCCACAACCTACATCCAGATGCTTGAGCACAGCTTGTTTGACCGCAGCTCGACGCTGTGGGGACACGGTGGCTCGAAAAGGGCCGACCTGCTTGACGGAAGTGTTCAGGTCGCCACCGGGGAACAGACCGCGTGGGAGTGGAGGGAGAATGCGGCAGCAGTGGTGCCGGGCGCGAAACATGTTGCGCTCGTGTCACTGTCGTTCCCGAATTCTTTGGCTACTTCTTACCCGGTACTTCCTACTACGTCCGCCACCGAACTCCAGTCGACCGATGCCTCTACCAAGATCTACTCCGTGCCGTTCGAGGAATTGAATGGCTTCATCAACATGGTTAAGACTGTCCCTACGGTTGACTCGGGCTCGGCCGACGAGGGCGAGCAGAAGGAGTGGGTCATGCAGACTGGGCGTTCCAAGGGAAGCAACATCGGCATCATCGCACGAGCGGAAGAAGCCGTTAGGCACGTCTGGGATATGATTCAGGTACGTAACCCGCGAAGTCTTTAAAAAAAAAGATGGCCTCTAATTCCTATTCTAGAATGCCGATGCTCTCGATGTTGCCATCATGGCCCTTGGGTACATCTCTATGCACCTCTCGTTCATCTCTCTTTTCCTGCAAATGCGTCGCCTCGGATCCAACTTCTGGCTCGGCGCGACTGTGCTCACCTCCTCGACCTTCGCGTTCTTGTTCGCCTCCATTGTCACTCACAAACTGGGTGTTCCGATCAACATGGTACTTCTGTCCGAGGGACTGCCTTTCCTTGTCGTCATCATTGGCTTCGAGAAGCCAATCGTCTTGACCCGTGCTGTCCTCGCTGCGAATGTCGACCAGCGCAAGAAATCCTCCGCCGGCACAATCCAGACCGCAGTCGCGACCGCAGTCCAAGAGACCGGGTTCCTGATTGTCAGGGATTACGTCATCGAAATTGCGATCCTCGCTGTCGGCGCGGCATCTGGTGTACAGGGTGGACTGCGGCAATTCTGCTTCCTTGCAGGCTGGATCTTGGCATTCGACTGCATCCTTCTGTTCTCCTTCTACACTGCCATTCTCAGCGTCAAGCTCGAGATCAACCGTATCAAGCGCCACGTCACCCTCCGTAAGGCATTGGAGGAGGATGGCGTAAGCCATAGGGTGGCTGAGAGCGTTGCAAAGTCCAACGAGTGGCCTCGCGCCGATGGCGGGGATGCTACCGAAGAGTCGACATCCGTTTTTGGCGCCAAGGTCAAGGACTCGAGCATCCGCAGCTTCAAGATCTGGATGGTCGCTGGGTTCTTCGCTGTCAACATCATTAACTTGTTTACTCTCCCGTACAGAGACACCACTAGCTCTACCGTCTTGACCACCGGCAGCGACTCGATGGTTCCCGAGATGAACGTGTGGCAGGTTGCCGGGAAGCCGCTTGAGCAGCTGCTGGCCAACTCGCACGAGGCCCTCGTAGTTACCGTCTTGCAGCCAATCCTGTACCAGCTCCAGTATGCAAGCGCATACCCCTCGTCTATCCCGAAAGTTTACGGATCAACCCAGGGCTACCCAAGCCCGTCCGCATACGACACCTCGGATCTCTTCGGCGAAGGGCCTGGCAGCAAAATGATTGAAAGTATCCTCAGAAGCCTCAACGACCCTGTTTTGGGTAAATGGATCATCGTCACTCTGATCATCAGTTTGGCGTTCAACGGATACCTGTTTAATGCTGCCCGCTACACCGTTAAGGAGCCCGAGATGGAAGACGAGTCGAAGGAGAGCACCAAGCCTCAGGTTATCGAGCGCATCGTCACTGTCAACTGCACCTGTGGTGGAAAGGCTCAGAAGTCGGCCGATGATCAGACCGATGATGATGCCCAGTCATCCCGAACTGTTGCTGAGTGCGAGGCAATGGTCAAGGAGAAGCGCGCTAAGGAGCTCAACAATGCCGAGTTGGTCGAGCTTGCTGTTCGTGGAAAGATCCCTGGATATGCCCTGGAGAAGACTCTTGGCGACCCCACCCGTGCTGTTGCCATTCGTCGGGCTATGGTCTCGCGCAACAAGATTACCATGGACAAGACTGGACTGCTGGAGCATTCGCTTCTCCCCTACAAGGACTACGACTACGCCCGCGTGCTTGGCGCTTGCTGTGAGAATGTTATCGGTTTCATGCCTCTTCCCGTCGGTCTCGCTGGTCCCATGAACATCGATGGCGAAGACTTCTACCTCCCAATGGCTACAACTGAAGGTGTGCTCGTCGCTAGTACTTCTCGTGGTGCGAAGGCTATCAATCTTGGCGGTGGTGCCGTCACCATTCTTACCGGTGACGGTATGACCCGTGGACCCGTCGTTCAGTTCCCCAGCGTTCGCAGGGCCGGTGGTGCCAAGAACTGGATTGATTCCGAGGAGGGCCAGAAGATCCTCAAGAAGGCCTTTGACTCTACTTCGCGCTTCGCTAGACTTCAGACCATCAAGGTCGCCATCGCTGGTACTTATCTCTACATCCGCTTCAAGACCGTCACCGGTGATGCAATGGGCATGAACATGATCTCGAAGGGAGTCGAGCACGCTCTATCGGTCATGCAGAACGAGTGCGGATACGAGGACATGGACATCATCTCGGTCTCCGGAAACTACTGTACCGACAAGAAGCCTGCCGCTATCAACTGGATCGATGGACGTGGAAAGAGTGTTGTCGCCGAGGCTGTCATTCCCGCCGATATCTGCAGAAGTGTTCTCAAGTGCGGCGTCGACGATCTTATCCACCTCAATACCGCCAAGAACTACATTGGATCTGCCATGGCTGGAAGTGTGGGAGGGTTCAATGCCCACGCTGCGAACATTGTCACCGCCATCTTCCTCGCTACCGGTCAGGATCCTGCTCAGAACGTAGAGTCTTCCAACTGTATCACCGTCATGAACAAGTAAGCCTCCTCGCCTCTCCACATGATATCCCAACGTACTAACCCCCCACCAGGACCCGCGAAGGCCATCTCAACATCTCCGTCTCTATGCCTTCGATCGAAGTTGGTACCATCGGTGGTGGCACCATTCTCGAGCCCCAAGGCGCAATGCTCGACATGCTCGGCGTCCGCGGCGCACACCAAACCAACCCCGGTGACAACGCGCGAAGACTAGCACGAATCGTTGCCGCCGCCGTTCTGGCCGGTGAGCTCTCTCTCAACTCTGCCCTGGCCGCCGGCCACCTGGTGAAGTCGCACATGGCCCACAACCGCAGCCAACCGGCTACGCGGACTAGCACTCCTGCTCCCCCGGCAGTCGAGGCGGCGCCCAGATCGCCGACGGAGAGCAATCCCGTCGCGAAGGCGCTTGCCGCGTCGCTCGAGAAGCAAAGAGGTATCGCCAGGTAGTTGTAATATCAGATGAGGGATGATAGTTGTGCATATTTTAGAGATTCCTTTTTTTACCTTTTTTCTTGTTCGCTCACAAAACGGTTGGTTGGATGGATGGATGGGATGGGTTGGAGTGTATTAATGGCTTTTATGACCTGGGGGTTTGCGGTGTTCTTGTCCTTATTACGGCTTCTTTTTTATTAGTTTTTATTGCATCTTATACCCCTACCTAGTACAAGCATGATACTCTACCACTTCTCTGCGATTTACCTATCGTTAGGCTAATCAATTCTGCTGAGGCGATGATATCTATGACAAACATTACTCTGCGTATACCGGTCAATAGAACAGTAGATAATTGATAGGTTTTGTGTTCGTACGTGATATCACTCGACGTCTCGAGTAACTGAGTTTAAGGTTCGCGTATTTTACCCGGCACCCAATCCATCCTCCAAGCCACTAAGCCGTGTAACAGCCCAAGCGAGCGACCCCACAAAACACCACCTCTATGTAAGCTCCCCCATTCACCCACCTGTCAGCTACACACGACCATCACCACCCGCACCCACCATCACCAGCAGCAGCCACCCACGATGTCCCGCCACGCCCGCATCGAAGAGATCGAAGACTCCGACCCGGAAGAAGTCGACATTTCCAGCCTGGACGCGCCCGACCTTCCCATCGCAGGGAGCACCTTCCAGCCCGGCCGCCACATCGTCCCGCCGACACCTAGCAGCAGCGTTCCACGACGCGCCCCTTCCGCCCCTTCCGCCCCTTCCTCCGCCCCCCTATCCTCATCGAGCCTCCTCAGCCCAGACCTCCTCTCCAACCCCGCGGCTTTCCTCTCGCCAGGACAAACTCCCTACCTCCCCGCCTCGGCGGCCGCAGACTACAAGTCGTTCCATTGCGTGTACCCGGTCTACTTCGACAGCACACGAACACGGGCGCAGGGGCGGCGGGTTGCGGCGTCCAAGGCGGTGGCGAGTCCGCTCGCACGCGAGATTGCGGACGCATGTGGTGCCCTCGGCCTGCAGACGGTGTTTGAACCCGGCAAGACACATCCGAAGGATTGGTGTAATCCGGGACGCGTTAGGGTCCAGCTCGAGGGGGCGGGGAGGAATAGTATGCTCCCTTTCTATCGGGGGGGAGGGGGGGGGGAGGGGTGGGTGTGGGGACTGGGCTAATAGCGGTGCCGGAGAATAGAGTTCTCGCTCCTCGACGCCATCTCCGCGTACCTGCGCACGCACCCTACGGTGCCGTCAACGCCGCTAAAGCTCCGGATCCCGAATGTTCCGTACGACGGCAAGCCGCCCCCGGCGCCGATCGTGCCGCGGGGCTGGAAGATGGGCGCCATCCTGCCGCTGCACAGTCCTGCGCTGCCAGGCCCCGGCGTCAGCGACGACGTGTTCAAGGATATGATGGAGGATATGATGGGCGGGATGATGGGTGGAGCTGGGGGTGCGGGAGGAGGAGGGGCGCAGGCGGCTCAGGCGGCGCAGGCTATGGCCGCCCTTGGGGCGGCGCAGCAGCCAGCTGGGCAGGGAGAGAAGAGGGAGAAGAAGGAGAAGAAGAAGGGGAAGAGGTAGTGGGTTTGCCGCAGTAGGAATTTGCTTCTTTCTCGGGCGTTGGGAGGTTGGTAATGAGCGAATAAACCAGTACAGTGCCCACCTGTAGACATCGTACCCACTACATACATCACGGCTTCACAACGAGCGAGTATCGATACCATCAACAGCAACAGTCTCCCCTCTCCCGAGTGATCATAACCCCCATGGATAAAAATGCGGCAGGAGCTATGTAAGGTACTTAGGAATACAGACTTCAGACGGGGTACAACACCCCGCACGACAACGACACAAGCAAAACAAAAGCACAGTAACAAATGAAAGGTTGGTGGTGCATGCAGATGAGGTTGCTGATGGTGATATAAGGAAAAGAAAAAAAAGAGAGGAAACAAAAAAAAGAGAAAAAAATAGAAAACTCCTAATCCCCAAAAAGATACGATACGAACGAAGCCACTTTCCAAAACAGCCAGCAACCCACTGAAACAAATGAAAACAGACAAAAAAAAGATTGTTCCGAACAAAATAGCTAGCCCTATTTATCAAAATACTTAGGGGAGACTCAATTTGTTCAATCCTCCATCTCCAGATCGATAGCATCTGGGTTCACGGGTGCTGCTGCCACGGGTGCTGCCGTCTCGGATGCACCATCAATGTTCCCGGGGATTGCACCGGTCGATGCGGCCACGAATCCCTGCGGCGCCCTTGCCTCGCGATCCAACGCCTCCATCGCATCATTCTTCTCCTGATCGTCGCCACTGGGCTCACCACCCTTGGCCTGACCTCTTGCCAGGGCCTGCGACGCGATGAAGTTGACATCAGTGTTGTACTGCGCCTGGACACTGCGCTTGATGCGCAGCATCTCCTTGAAGGTGTCTTCGTTTCCGTGCTGGATCTCAAACTTCTCCCACTTCTCCCAGAACGTGGGGGAGATTCTGGGGTCCGAGAACTGGCTTGCGTGCGCGTAGATGGCCCGCGCGCGGTCGATCTCGCCCAGTCGTCGTTCCATCTCGGCGAACTTGAGACACATCTCCTTGGCTTCCTTGTCCGGCAGCGCTTCGATCGCGCGCTCATAAATTGGCCGCGTCGAAGTGAGCCCGAAGTTGGAGGCCGACTTGGTGATGTAGAATTCAAACATCTCGAAGCGATCCTCGTCCGAGACGGCACGGGTGGCGCGCTCGTATATCCGCATGGCGTGGCGCGCGAGTCCGCGCTCCTCCTCGAGGTTGCCGTACATGAGGTAGAGTGTCTTTGCGAACTTTGGAGGACAGCCCTCGACGGATTGCTCGAACAGATCTCGTAGACGTTCTATGTCGATCTGGCGGTTGACCGCCTTGGTGAGATACAGGTTCCACAACTCGAAAGCTACCGGATAAGAGAATAAGTCCAGTCCCCGCTCGTAGATCTACCGTATGTTAGCTATCACTAGTTACCTATCTAGAATGTAGAAGACATACCTTGAAACTCTCCTCGAAGTATTTGTTCTCCTCTAGAAGGTTTGCATAGTTGACCACTGTCTGCGGTGTTGCGATCCGCAGCTCAAAGATCCTCTCGTACACTGCCCGGGTCTCATCGAGAGTGCTGACACTCTCCACGAGATCCACATAGAAACTCCACAGCTTCCAACTTTTGTGTACCCGCTGCTGCGGCGTCAAGGTCTCATCGAAATAGTCGACAATGCTCCTCTTTGGAGCCTGAGTGGCCTTGGCCATGATCTTGACAGCTTCGTCAAAGTTGTCGTTCCTCAGCTCCAGCTCAGCCCATTCGATCCACATCTCGGCCAACTCCTGCACGGACTTGAAGGGCACACGAACAGCCTTCTCCATGATGATCCGTGCCTGTCTGATATCTCCATGCTTCTCGTAGAACTTGGCGTAGCCAGCCCAGAGAGAATGGAACTGCCCAACCGCTTTCTTGGGGTTGACGGCAGCCACGGCATCGGTATACGTCTGTACGACCTCCTGCTTGTTGTCGCCCCATAGCCCGACCCGCTTCTCCCACTCGATGACGTTGTTCGGGTTTTGCCGCAGAAGGACATCGTTGACTAGGAAAGGCCGGCGGTCCATCAACTGCTCGAATCGCATCATCCGGATATCCAGGTCGTAATCGGCATCCTCGTCCAGCTTCCCTTTCTCTTGGCGTGCTGCGGCAGCCTCCATCAGGCTCGAAATGACCGACTCCTCAAACTCCGTATACGAATCAAAGATCTGCGTGAAGTCGCGGACAGTCATGACTGTAGTGATGCCCTCCTCAAATGCATCGCGTGCCTATTCCGGATCGTCAGCACGCACTCCTACGGCTCACTCCACGCCTGAGGATAGATTCTCACCCTCTCGAAGTCGCCCTTAGTGATCCAGTACGTCCCCAAGCTGGTCCACAATTTGCCACGCTGATCGCTGAACTTGCTGATGCCGCTGCGAACAATCTTCTCGACGTCGATGCTCTTGATCTCTCGCGCATGGGTGACCAGCAGGTCGCACAGCTCACTCCACATCTGGAAGTGACTCTTCGCCTCCTTACTCTTGAACCTCGGATTGTCCAGAATCTCAATCCACTTCTCCGCCGCCTCCTCGTACTTCTCCTGCGAGACCAACAACTCAATGAACTCCTCGGCATCCTCGGGGTGCACCTGCATGTATCTCCGCCAGATGCGCACCGCCGTCTCACCGGACGCAGAGTTGGCGAACGGAAGGTACAGCTCCCATATCCGGCTGTGTTGCGAGAGCGGCAGGGCACGGAGAGCGCGATCGAATGCGCGCCGAGTCTTGGAGATCAGGCATTGCTTGAGCAGGAAAGTGAGATAGTCGAGCCAGATGCGTGGCATCTTGTTGAGAAGGATCAGGGAGCGCTCGAAGCAGTCATTGACTTTGTTGTACTCCTCGTTGAACTTGGCCGGATTGAGGGGGGAGACATGTTTCACCCGCATGTCGAGATACTAATGATGGAAATGGGTAAGTAAAAAAAAACTCCACCAGGAATAAGAAACACCCGCGAGGCGGAGGGGGAAGAGGGAGGGATGTTTATACCTTCTTCCAGATCTTGTAAGACCGCGGTAACGCCTTGCACGCCCGCTCGTACACAAAGACTTGCTCCTGAATGGTTCCGGTCTGCACCTTATGCTCGATATACCGCAGCCACGGTTTGATGCTCGAATAGGGATCGCGCAATATCTCATGTTCGTAATGCGCGTCTTCGTCAGATATCAGATAAAGATCTATGGAAGTAATCGAAGTCTTGGTAGCAGCAGTTGCGTCAGCACCGGATTTAGACGGCAGCGATTTCGACATGATTGTGGTCGTGGTGGTAGCGGTAGAGGTGGAGTTCGAAGCCGAATCGACGTCCATTGGCGCTGTTGCTGTTGGTGCTGGGGGTGCGGCGGGGACCAGGAGTTCTCCGGGCATAGCGAAAAGTCGGCGGAGACGAGCCCGCGTGTGGTGATAGGAAAGTATCTGATTGGATTTCGGGAGTGTTTGCAGGATGTGATGCTATGCTGTCTGTGCTGGCAAGCGGTGTGTGGTGTGTGGTGTGGTGGTGGTGGTGCGGAAAGGACACAAACGGTGTGCGTGGGGATGTCTGTCAGTGTGTGTGGGATTATGAAGCCATAGGAGAGAGCGAAGAGCGAAAGCGAGGGTGGGTTGCGAGAGTGTGCGTAGGTGTGGGTATGCGATGTGTATCTCGGGATATCTCTTGGAAGGAGAGCGTGTGTGTTTTTCGCGGGGTCGGTCGTCGGTCCGTCGAACGAATTTGGGTGAGAGGCGACGACGCGGCAGCGTTGAGTTCTGGTGTGGTCTGTGGAAGCCTGAGCAGCCGCCAAGCCGAAACCGACGAACCGTCCGGAGCACTCCTCCCCTCACCACCCTCACCACCCTCACTCGCAAAACAATCAGTCATCTCAATGTACCCTCCGAGTGAGCATAGGGGGCGGCGGTACTGCTCTCTGGCCACTCGAGCCCGTGCAATTGGACACCGCGTGATTGTAGGCTCGAGAGTCCCCGTCCCAGCAACCAACCGAGTCCCGACGTTCCCTAGGAGCCCCATACGCTAGAGTAAATGGATGCCAGGCACTCGCACGGGTAGCGACTGGCAGGACATCATCATACGTGCGGACCGCCACCGTCGCAAACATGCCGATCACGATTCGAAGTCCGCCAGTACCATGGCAAGTCGTCGAGGAGTCATGTCCGATCACTCGCACGCATGCCGCGTAGACAATCATGCCGTATTCCGACAGCAAAAAAGAAAGGTAGGTGCGATAGCGATCCCCGGGCCAGCGGTTACGTACCTGCCTTGACTCGACTTGTGTTGCATGCACCCGCCCATGTCCGTCGATGTACGGAGATAGGTACTTGAGTACATATGCGGAGTACTCTGGGTACACTCAGATAGGTGGCACGTTCAACATCATTGATCATTCTGCCTTCCTCGAGGAATCTATCCCCTGCTTCGATCTTTCCGCCTGCTGGCTTTGTGGCTGGTGGGAAGATTCTCTAGAGTAGAGTATGGAGATATGGGATGAGGGAAATACCCATTTCTGCAGCAATCAATCGAGGATCGGTATCGCATCCGCCAGTCGCCCTCAATCCATCAGACGAACTGCCAGCTTTGGAAACATGTTACCATTTGCACGGCAATTACCAAGGTATATGCAGCTTCGTTCTGTTATGCACTCAGCGGCGTCGTGGTAGCATCTTTGTCGCTGTGTTGTGATTGTGGGGGCCAGCGAAACCCCACACGACACAGTGATGGTTTTATGTAAAGGCCGCCTGGGATGGGGAAACGAAACGACCCAGATGAGATGAGTGGCCAGCTGACCGGACACGGCACCGGCAATGGAAAGGCACCTGTTGCATAGAAGAAAAAAGTCTATTTCGATCCGATCACCCGCTACACCCAAGAGAAAAACAACCATTCGACAAAAACACAAGAAAAAGGAAAAATGAGAAACGAAGAAAGGATCAAGAAAAGGAACGGGAACGGAGATAGCATTGGAAGACGAGTCTCCAGGCCCAATTAGATGACCATTAGATGACCAATGACCAGCTAAGGAGTGCAGCGTCCCATCCAGCGGGGGTAAAGTGAGCACTCCTTAACAGTCCAGCGACCACACATCCATGCCAAGAAACGCTCCAGTCCTATACCGTATCCACCGTGGGGCGTGGTTCCATACCTTTTTGCGCGGATTAGTATCTGTACACATCATGTGAAGGACAATACGAGAAACTTACTTCCTCTGGTCGGTGAACCAGTAGTAGGGATCCGCGGGAATGCCAACACGTCTGTACGCATCCAACAGCTCCTCAAGGTCCTCCATCCTCATGGAACCACCAACGATCTCGCCGACACCGGGCATCAAGCAGTCAACACTCTCGGTGACCCTGGGATCTTGCGGGTCCTTCTTCATGTAGAAGGCCTTGATCTCGACCGGGAAGTGGGTGAGGAAGATCGGCTCGTTGAGCATATCGGTCATGCGGCGCTCAGCGGCCTCGGCAATGTCGTCGCCGAACTTGTGGGGCTCGTCGTCTTCGTTCGGGATGCCGTGCTCGTTGAGCCACTCGATGGCCTCCGAGTACCTCATGCGGCGGAACGGACGGCTGGGGGGCTTGAACTCGTAGTGCTTGAGCTCAGTGACTTCGCCCTTCTCGAAGCGCTTCTTCTCGTCCTTGTTGGCGTCGTCGTTGAGCTCCTGGATGAAGGCCCGGGTCGGAGGGTCGTTCCAGACGGTGTCGATCGTTCGACAGACCAGATCTTCAAGGTGGTTCAGGAGGTCGTCGAATGTGACGAAAGCCAATTCACCTTCGATGTGAGTGTATTCACTGAGGTGGCGTCTGGTAAGTGACTTCTCGGCACGGAAGGACTCCTGGATACAAAAAACGTCACCGAGCGAGGGCAGACATGTCTCAAGGTAAAGCTGCGAAGATTGAGTGAGGTATGCCTTCTCTCCGTAGTAGTCAAATTCGAACAGAGTGGCACCTCCCTCGCATTGAGTCTGAACCATGCACGGGGGAGTGACCTCGAGCAAACCGAGATCATCGAAACTTCGACGGAACGCCTTGACGACAGCAGCGCGAACCTTGAGGGTGGCACTGGCAGTGTCACCACGGAGGGTCAGATGCCTGTAGTTGTACTTCGTCTGGGGGTCGGCGTCGGGGGCGACGATGTTGGTGATCGCCTCTTCTCCTCCTGGCGCCTTCCCAATGATCTTGTAGTAGTCCACGATGAGCTCGTGCCCGCCGGGGGCATGCGCACCAGCAGGCAATTCCTTGAGCTCTCCGTACAGAGTGAGGGTGGTCTCGTTGGTGAGAGTCATAGCATCGTAGGATTCGGTGAGCTTATCCGCCAGGATACACTGCAGAAGCCCGGTTCCATCGCGCAGAGTGATGAAGATCATGTTCTTCTGGTGACGCACCCGGTGAGCCCATCCAGAGATAGCCACACGCGTGTTGCGGTGGGCGGTAGTGTCCCTGATCTTGATCTTCTTGGCCGCAGGCTTGCTGGCATCCTCGACGATAATGACCGATTTGGCAGCCTCGAGCTGTGCATCCCTCGCCGCCTTCTGCTCGGCTTCCTTCGCAGCAAGCTCGCCCTTCTTTGCTTCCTTCTTGATGTGGGCAGAGTGCGCGTTGGTAGCCTTTTTCAGCGCGGCTTTGGCGACGGGCTTGTACTCTTCGCGGGTCTCCTCCGGTGTGCCGGTCTTGGACTTCCGCGATTCGTATCTCGCATCCTTCACGGAGGAGTGGATCAGAGCGCCGAGCAGCGACTTGAACGGGAGGTCTTTGGTGCCGAGGGTTTCTGGCGCATCGACACCGGTGTCCTCATCGATGTAGACAACTTTGACAAGTCAGTTCGAGTGAGTGAGTGACTCATGAGTCAAGCAACGTACCGTTGGAGATAACCATATCTGCCACTGCAGAGGCGACTGACTTGACTGCTTCGGCCATTGAAAGTGGTATACGAGGACCGGGTACCTCTCGCGATCACTGAAGTACCAAGGGAAGTGGAGTAAGGGTCCAACTGCTATCTTTGTGTGTGAGCACAAGTGTTTGGCGGGGCAGCACCCACTACGGCCACAATGTTTATCACCCCTCACTTGGCCGCATCTCTCCACCGTAGGAGTCATGTATCGCATCATACACCAATTCTTTCAGAGAACTCGGAGATATTGTTCAATATATAGACAGATCTTTCGGCATCTTCTGCGAGAAGTTCCTTTGCATTTGGACCACAGCAGTTGTGCTGTTGACTGCTCCGCATGTGCCCTAGCGTTTTTATTTGGCCGCTTTTTCCTCGCCTGTGCTACTATTTATTTCTTCATCGACTTCGACCTCAACCACTCCAACATCACTCCTCTTTATCCTCACCTCCACTTCTCTTCTGTCCGCCTTCTTCACCAACAAACCTTCAATCAAACACAGCCGGTATGTCTTCACATCGCGTCACATCGCATCCCGCATCCCATCATCTTCCCCTCCTCCCCATCCGGAGATGAAGAAATCTGTCACAGATTTTCCCGGCGACTTCTATGAGCCACCGAAAACACATGCACTACCATCTGATCCACCATCTAAACCGCATCTTTAATGATCGTCACGACATGTCATCGCGCACTTACTGACTGACTCGTCTTAAAGGCTATTCTGCTGCTTCTTGCGCCGGCTGTTTTGACGACTAATGATGGTATGTTCCTCACCGCTTTCTATCCATTACTCTGCCCTCCCCCCGACATAATGATGAAACAAAAATTTCAGTTCTGCTTCTGTATTCCTGAAGATACCCATATACCAAACGTACATTATTCTGAATTGTCGTCTATCTACCACATTTGCCGTTGATTGTTGAGAAGAACATTCGCTGACTTCAAGAAGAAAATCGCTTTCTAGCCTCACATCAATCGGTATTTACCCCACCAGCGTTTTCTGCTCGTCTATCCTCTTGCAAGGATGATAATAGTCAATCCATTCAATGAGTCCCATGCTCGCCATTTCTCTTGTTCGGTCTTTACCATGTCCGGCCCCTCTGCTGGTCTGCCTGCCGCCGAGTAACGGGGGTTGCATGGCGTGTGGGTGGGCTGGATTTATGAGCGTGGGCGGCGTGGTATCGTCGGACGTCTGGAGTTCGGCCTTGCGTTGATGCAGGATCCGAAGGATCCTCTGTTTTTGAGGGTTCGGAGGTGAACGTGGATGCGGAGTGTAGGGGGATTAACACCGGCTGTACTGATCTGCAACAATTTTGCAATCGCTATTGATGCTTTTACTGGGTTGTGCTTGGACACCCGCTGACGATTTGGAAAATTAGTTGCTGTAGTCACAGTATATCTTCATGATGTCTATAATAAATTCCTCTCAACCACCTGCTACCTCCGTGACTATGCAACACCTGTACCCGGGTGTCTTCCGTCCGCTGTTCTTTCCAGCTCCGGCAGAGTTCACACAGCCCCTGCTGGATGGATTCGTGGATGCGCACGATGAACTGCTGGAAGAGAACTCCCTGTTCACTCATTCCACGCGCTCGAGAGAGATCGGCGTCGACGTCGACGGCACGATCCGTGAGTTCCGCCGACGTGAAGCCGTTGCGGCTACTGCACAAGGGGAAGAGGGTGGTGATGGTGATCGCACGTCGCTGGCGGAAGTGAGGAAGTTGAGACTGCGGTCGAGAATGCACACCGTATATCTCTCTCCCATCCTGGGAAAATCGCAACAGACAAATAATGACTGGGTGGGTGGAACAGCAAGCTGCGGCACCGCGCGAACAGATCTTGCGCAAGTCCAAGGAACGCATGGCGGCGTTTGAGCGCGAGATCAAAGTGCAGGAAGAGGCCGCGCTGAAGGCGTTTAAGGAGGGGATTAGAAGGGTTGTCGAGGCTACGCCTATTGCTGAGTAAAACGAACGAACGGTACATATCATGGTGGGAATTGATGTATGACTTGATGTGTGATATCTTTCTTCATTTGTTCAATCATCATGACAAGCAAGCAGGTGCAATACTAATACAACATCCAGAAGACCCTATTCCATCCAAAATGAGAAGAAGAAGCAGAAGCAGAATATAAAGTCATAATCAAGCAAGCAAGCACAAAATAACCTAATCCGCCCTCTCGCCCACAAACGTCGGGAACCTCGGCGTGCCACTGTTGCTCAACTCCTGGTAGCGATAGATGATAGTGGCACCGATCTTCGGCGGCACCTTCCTCTGCGCATCGGTGAATCCACTGCCGACCTTAAACAGCTTTCCCGTGGGATCCCCCTTGTCATCGAGCATCTCGACCCTCAGGGCGCCACACACGCCAACATTCTTCCCCGAGCCGCCCTCATGCGCTCTCACAATCGCATCGGCGTCCAGGAACCGCTTGACTTTGAGCAGACTCCGCGAGCGGCCCTGGATATACAGACTGCCGGCCTGCCGCAGCATCATGCCCTCGCCCTTGTTCGCGCACACCTCGTCGAGCCGGTCGATTAGGTGCTTCTTGCTCTTGCACGTCTCGTGCTGCAGCACATGGACCCAGCGGATCGCATCCTTGCCGCCATCAAACCTTCTCTTAAGCCACTTCAGGCGCTCCTCGAACGGCTGGTCCGCCATGGTGGGGACATCGAAGACCTGGTAGCTGACGGAGAACTTCCAGCGGTCCGGACGGTTGTGCGCGCGGACAATACTGACGCAGTCCTGGAACCCGCCGCGGACCGTGAACAGCTCGCCGTCGAGCTTGATGTTCCCCCGCGGAAACCGCTTCGTGAACCACGGGGGCGCGTAGAACGGGTTGCCTTCGCGGCTGAGGAACACTCCCTTGTCGCCGTGCCAAATCGCTCGCACCCCGTCGAGCTTCTCCGACATCAGCCAGCCCGCCGGATCGATCCCCGTGTCGAGATCCCACTTGTGCGCCAGGAGCGGCTTGAACACGCCGTTGGCGGCGGGCTTGGCGGCGGGGGCGCGGGCGACTCGCGCTCGTTTGGCGGGTGAGGGTGAGGCGGCGGCGGGAGTTGCAGCGGCGGGGGCGGCATCTTCCTCGTCGTCCTCTTCGTCGTCGTCCACGACCGGGGGGGCCTTCCGCTTCTTTTGCGTAGCCGCAGCCGCAGCCGTGGCCTTCGCCTTCCTCTTCGGCGCAACAACCTCTTCCTCCTCCTCCTCCTCCTCCTCCTCCTCCTCCTCCTCCTCCTCCTCCTCCGCATCCGCATCCTCCATCTCCTCATCCTCATCCTCATGCACACCCTCACCCAGCCCCGCCCTCGCCCGCGCCTCTTCATACTTCCCGCCCAGCAGCAGTACCAGGTGCGCACACGTCGTCGCCTTCGCGCCGGCCACCAAGCGCCCCCATCCAAAGCCCGCGCAGCTGCATGTATACCTGCCGCCGCGGTTCTCGATAGTGTATGCGCCACGCTGGTGCGTTGCGCCGGGCTTCAGCGCCGTTCTCGGGGCGATGCCGTTCTGTGGATGTCAGTTTCAGTCCCAATCTCAATGTCTTGTCTGTCTGGCAGGAGAAGAAGAATGAGAAGGGTAATTACAATAGCCAAGGGCAAGTCCTTATCGTCGCCGGAGTCATCGTCGATACTAGACCCGAGGTCCTCCCGCGTCTCGTCGAGGAGCGCCAGGGCCTGGTATTCCACCGCCGAAGGCTTCGTTTGTGCTTGTGCTTGTGCTTGCGCGGAGCGGGCGGGCTTGGCGCTGCGCGTGCTGCTGCGAGTGGTGCGAGCCATTTTTCGTGATTGGCTTTAGTATACTGTAGATATAGTAGATAGATATCTCGAGATTGTTTCTGCTGGACTGGTGATTCCGAACACCGCCACCCAGCTGGCGAACACGCCGTCTTATATACATCCCCACTCTCCATGCGTATATTGGATTCTCGATTGATTGACTCCGTCCCTCGTCGCGCTCGCGTCCGCGTCCGTGTCGGCCGGCCCCCGCGTCGCGTCGTGTCCTGTCGCGTCGCGCAAAAAATTCGTCAGGCAGGCAGGCAGGCATTGAGGGCTATGGTGTTTCGTTCCTTGCTGCAAGGGTTAGATTGCTTGGTCGTGAGTCACAGATGGGGGGACTGTAAGAGTCATCGCGATCCTGGAAATTGCAACCACCCATCCACTTGCGGAAAGTGATAAGTGGGCAGTGGGCAGTGGGCAGTGGGAAGTGGGCAGTGGGAAGTGGAAGTGGGAACTTGTAAGTGGGATAAGCTTCGAGCTTCTCGGCGAACGCGAGACGCTCGCGTGGTCATGTGCGAGACTGCGAGTGGGCTGTGCTGGCTGTGCTGTGCTGGGGGCGCGGTGGGGGCGCGGTGCGCGGTGATTGGTGTGAGATTGGGCGCTGGATGTAGCCTGTAGGCTGTAGCTTGTCATGGACCATGGTGGGGCGCGGTATGTGGTAGGAAACACCGGGAACTCGGAACTGTGAAGACGTGGCAGGAATCGGCGTTAGGGAGAGGTATTTGCGTCGCGTTACGTGGGACTGGGTGCGGTGATGAGCGTATGGAAACAGGAGGCCTGGTTGTCTGATCCATGATGTAGGTATCGTGGCGATTGACTGTGATAGGCGTCGGGGATCATGCACAGTTGTTGTGTGTAAAGTATATGGTGGCGGCAATGGCAACCACAGACTGTCACCCCTCCTTGAAGTATCATCATCATGCAGGATCCGAGAGCAATTTACCGCAGTGCCTGGTGGGGGGAGCGAAGGGACACTGCGGCAAGAGGTTGAGCGGATGCATGAGGACGACAGACCCAAACGGCGCAACAGGACGAGGCCGAGTGCCTAATTTGCGGAACATGGACCTGGAGCTGGGTAGGGACATTGGCGAGTTCCTGGACCAGCTGGACAAAGGGGCGGTAGAGGCGGCGGAGAGGTTGGCGGACGAGAAGGGACGGGACAGGTGGATTTCATGCAGTTTTTCACTATCGTGTACCTTCCCTTCCTTGGTGCGATCTAGGTACACCGTTGCGGTGCTCAAGCGGATGATGGGGGAGGTAAGGTCAGCTATCTGGATTACTCTAGACAGGATAGGTACCGGGACAAGTGCGCTTCGCCATCGTCTGGTTGCGAATAATGAAACAAAAAAAACATTCATGCATCGTCTATCCCTCGAAAACCCAGAAACCTAGCATACCTAAAGTACAATCCTCCGTTTCCCTCCTTCTCATAGCCCATTTCCGCCACTCCCACTCCCCCCACCCCCTGCACGCCCGCCTTGATCCAGCAGTAGCTTCGGCTTGATAAACCCCTCGTCGAGCTTCCGGAACCACTCGGCCTGATCATCGCTCGTGCCGGAGAATATCCCGCTGAGTTGACTGAGCGCGCCCTGTGGCTGGGGAGTATTGCTGCTGCTGCTTCCGCTGCCGATGTCCTCGAGCACTGGCGGGGTGGAGGCCAAGAGGGTATTTCTCCTCGCCGCCGCAGGCGGCGGAAGATCGCTCGCGTCGCTTTCGGCGTCCGATTCCTCGGCCAGGAAGTCGGTGTTGACGTTCGCGCGTCGTTCCGACGGGGTGCGGCCCGAGGGCGACGGCCGCTGCTGACCGGAAGCGTACCCGCCCGCTCCCACGTCGCCAAGCGCAACGGCGGGGGTGTTGCCAAAGCCGTCGAAGCCGTTCGGGTTGGACTTGTAGAAGCGCCCAGTGGACTCGATGTCGAACTCGTCGTCGGAATCTGGTTCCTCAACGCAGCCGGTTCTGATCCCAAGAATCTCAAGCATGCGTGCGGTTGTCCCGCCGAAGACGATAACGGTGAGGACGACCACGACCAGGACCGTGGCGCGCAGGGAGTTGCCGTTATCGCCTGTGAAGCCGGCTGCGAGCGCGACACCAACTGCCCCGCGGAGTCCGGCCCAGAAGAGCATAGCTTGGTAACTGTGGGGGAGCTCCTCGGCGCCGGGCTTTCCGCGCGCTTGTGCGCGTTTGCGGATTACGAGGTTGATGAGCTTTGATAGTGGGAAGACGGCAGCCCAACGGGCGACACAGATTCCGATGGTGACTACAAGGATCAGGACGGGTCGGAAGACGAGTTTCGTTTCGGTGAAGAGGGAGAGCCCTAGGTAGATGAAGATGAAGTTCTCAGAGAGCTGCGCAAGCACTTGGAACAGGTATTTCGTCGTCAGCTGTGTGCGCCGTGACATGTTGTAGTAGGCGTAGTGCTTCAGCGTGATGCCGCAGAACAGTAGAGAGACAATTCCTAGGGATGTCAGCTGGGCTGTATGATAGAGGATGTGATATATGCATACCAGACATGCTGCAGCCGTTGGAGAACAAGTACGATGCGTATGCAACCAACAGGATGAAACAACTCTCAATCCCCGGGAAGCGCCGCATGTATGTATGTTTCAACAACAGCGCCGTTCCAATGCCGACGAGCACGCCAATCAGCAAACTGACAGTGAACACCACGAAGAAGACACCAATGGCCTTAAACAGACTCCCTATGGTAGCCTGTTCCGCACCATGGAAGTGTCGGGCCGTCTCGAACATGACGATAGCCACCGCATCGTTCAGAATGCTCTCTCCAAAGATGACAGTATACAGCTTCGGATCGACCTTATACGCGTTGAAGATCGCCAGAATTGTGACCGGATCCGTGGCCGAAAGGGTTGCACCCACGCTTATCGCCTCGACAAAGGTGATGTTGAGCGCTTCAAACGGCGTCAGCGACCAGATGTAGATGATGATTCCGAGTGTCCACGCCGAGATAAACGTCCCGGCGAAAGCGAACGTCAATATCGAGCCTATATTCCGAAAGAAGTTTGCCTGCGCACCGTCGCCGTCAGCAACCACTTCACTCCCCCGTTCCTCCACCTTCAGCGCGCACAGATACAACGCACCTGGTGCAATTCATATCCCGAGTTCAGAATGATAGGCGGCAGCAAAACGTTGAAGAAGATCTGGTAGTCGAACTTGACGAGACTCTGCAGATACTCTCCAGGAGTAACCCGAATAATCAAGCCGACAAACATTCCTACCGCCTGTCAGCGACCCTTCCCCTCAACCTACACACATGTATCGCATACCCGCAAAGATCGAAACAACAGTCTCATGCACCGCCTGAATCTTCTTAAGCTGCAGATAGTAGCTGAAAAACAGCGCCAACAGCACCAGCGACACCTGGATGAACAGCGCCCACGACGCGAGCATCTCCGACTGCTCGACATCTTTCGGTTCTGTAGGGTAGTTTCGGCTCGTCAGTCGCGGAGGTGGTACGGCGGGCAGACGGGGGAGGAGGAGGGCGTACCATCCGTATCCGGTTCTTCGGCTTCTCGTTCTGCGGTCTGTTAGCTTTCAACCCCCATTAGAGAGCTGCGCACGTGCAGATAGAGGGGGAGGGGCGCCCGTACTCAGCAGTGCGTAGGCTCCTTGTGTAGCCAAGGTGGCCATCTGCGTAGCTACGGTCGTGGCGGCGATGGGCATGGCGGCCAGTATGCCCGGCAGGTAGACGCGATTGTGGGGATCAATGCGGGGCTGGAACGAGCAGCGGGTGGATATGCTAGGTATCTTGTGGTGTCGTTGTCGGTCGTCGTCGTTCAGATGGAAACCCGGGAACGAAGGATTATGATCATCTGCAAGCAAGCTGGCGGCAACGTGTTGACACCTTCACCTTAAATCACGGACGGAGCTTGCACGTGTAGCTTTTTTCCTGCTTTTCGGTAGAGAAGTATAGCAGACAGAGTATATTGTTTATTTTGACGCTATGGCAGGCATGGAGGGAGGGGATGTTTGGTGGGAAACAACGAGTGGATGGATCGGAGGATGACTTTTGTGTCTTGCGTTCTTTTCCCTGTGAAGTTGGAGGCAGAGGACAGCGAGCCCTGCTGACCGCCGAGGGAGCGCGTGCCTTGCTCGATGTCGCACTGTAATTACCCGGCTACAGAATTAGAACATTCGGTGAGTTTCTGCCGGATTGTTTCTTTCCTATGTGACGCACTGCAATCCGTTCTAGGAAGATATGGAGGAGAATGATATAGTGGATCGCGGGGGGTTACTGGGGGACTGGCTGGGGCCTGACTGCAAGTAAAGTGCTGGTGGGTCCGGTTGCATGCGATCATGAGCTATCACTCCGGTGGCGTCTATGGCGTCTATGGAGTACGTGTAAAGTACCTGGTGGAGTGTACCTACGCGCACTGAAGTCCGCCCACAATCGAGATCTCTCCCGTCCGTCCGTCTGATCCCGGCAGTCCGTCTGATCCCGGCAGAGGGAAGTCCTCATCCCGTCGCTGACCCCAACCAAACCGCCGGCTACCGATGATGCAGTTTACAACCCCCATTCCTGTCCCTTCGATTGTTTGTACACGCTCGTACTAGAGCTTTTTGAAACTTCTGGGTGGCGGGAGTGACATCAGGGCGTCAGGACAATCCGCGGAGCCTTGCTACCAGCGTCCAGCGAGCGGAAGACTGGCATTCTCCCGGTCGAAAGCTCTCCATCCCAGCCGCCCCGCTAAACTGAGTAATTCCGACGATCTAAGAGCCGTTGACCTCTAAGCCCGAGCATCAAGCCTTGGTCCTTCTCATTCTTCTCATCGATCCAGTGACGCAGGACAGCGCGAGCCGCGGCACCTCCCGCTAGTTATAGCGCCACCAAATACCAGCTTTGAACCTGTACGACCAAGCAAGGAAGGAAAGGCAACTTCCCCGATGCCACAAGTGACAAAACTCAATCCATGCACGTCACTGCAGTGTGCACCCCGCGCTGGTGAAGAAGTGCTGTTTACTGTCTCTTTGCTCGACCAGTTAAAAAGCAAGCCTTTTTCATTCGTATTTTTCGCTCAACTACCGTACCCTCGTGAGGAAAGGATTGACAACAAACACACGCAGAGAAAGTGTGAACGAGACAGATAATGGCAAGATTCAACGCGCGCACGCCTTCCAACGGCGCTCCTGGCATCATCGTTCGCAGGAGGAAGCGCGATCGCGAGAGGTTGAGGCAACGGTGGGAGAAGCGGAAGCTGGAGGAGGAGGCGCGGAAGAGTGGGGAGAAGAGCCAGCAGATCCAGGAGGAGGGGCAGGCGGACGAAGAGTATGCGAACGCAGCTACCCCTGGGAGCGAGGACGTGGTGATGGAGGGGAGCGAGACCGAAGAGACCACCACTATTGGCAGCGAAGGCGAGCACAACGAAGTTTCTACCGATGCGGTCCTAGATACTACGGTCAATATCGAAGTTACGGCTCCCACACCACCGGACAGAACTCTGGGTGTAGAAGTGCAAGTGCGCGATGAGCAAGTTGCAATCGATGGCGAAACGGCCGACAAGAAAGCTCTTACTCCGGAAGAGGAGGAGCTCAGCGAGGATAAACCCACGACGGAGACGGAGTCAAACCAAGACAACGCTTTCACAACTAGTACAAAGCCGCACACCGACACGCCTCCCACGGTCGAGAGAACTGAAGAAATGGAACATGACCACATCCCCGGACCAGTCGAAAGTTCTTTGAACCCGTCTGTCACGGTAGAGGAAAAATTGCACGACACGCAAGATTCCATGTCGGAGGATACAAAGGAGCTGAAGTACGTCAGTGAAGACCCAGATTCCATACCAGAGGACACTGGATATGTGAAGCGCGATACCAACGTCCAGGCTGCCGAGCTCGACTGCAAGTTTCCCGTACGTTTCCATTCCAGATTGATCCCGATCTCCATAGCTAAAAATCTCAGCAACCCGACACAAATCCTCCTGACGAAAAACACAAGCCCTCCCTCACCCCTCTCAAAACTTCAACATCCGGCGACAACGATGACACTTTACCCACGCCGCCCCTCAGCGCACACGAACCAGAGCGTCGTAGCAGTCAAATCCAGGCCGTGGTCTCCACTCCACAAAGGACTCGTACTCCACGAAAGGCGCCGACCTCAACGCCGGCTCCAAAAGTTGAAGTTGAGCCTAGATATTCGTTACGGAACTCGGCCAGGAAGACTACGGTCTTACAAGAGGAGAATCATCAAGCTACGGTAACGCCAACCGCGAAGAAGCGGAAGCGGCGTGCCTCGTCTCCAATCTCACCGGATTCGGGTATGCAGATTGAGGATATAGACGGCGACATCAGACTTGAAGAAGGGGTAACGGAAGAGATCATTGTGCCCTCCGGTGACCCCCAAGAGCCTTCGGAACCCACCACACCACCACCGAAACGACGCAAAAGCACTAGGAAATCCATAGTCAACTCGCCTTACTTTACTGCCCCAAGAACACTCGCAACAGTGGTAAACGTCAAAGGATCCGGACGCACCCCCAAGGGCATCAGCGTCACCCCCTGGCCGCCATTTACCGCCGAGAAGTTCGGGCTGGTGCAGGAAGAACTCCGTGACAATCCTGTCTGTCCCCTCATCATTGGTTCCCACACAACAGCTGTTAACGATCCCAGTTCCATCTCCTAATTTCCACCACCTTCCTCAACCGCACCAAGGGCTCCGTCGCTCGGCCCCTCCTCGACAAATTCCTCTCCCTCTATCCCACGCCCGAGATCCTCTCTACCGCCCCACAAGCGGATCTCGAAACCCTCCTCCAGCCCATAGGCCTCTATCGCGTCCGCGCCGAGCGCCTCATCAAGATGGCCACAGAATGGCTCGTGAACCCGCCGGGCGCCGCTGAAAAGGTGCTATACAACTACCCCGCCAAGGACACCCCGCCATTCCCCATTCCCGGCCGCGAGCCCCGCGGCGTGGAAATGAAGATGAAATGGGAGATTGCGCATCTGCCGGGTGTCGGCGCATATGCCCTCGACAGCTGGAGGATCTTTTGCAGAGACGCCTTGCGGGGCGGGGTTAAGGGGGGAGACGAGGAGTGGAGAAGTGTCGTCCCAAAGGATAAAGAGCTGCGTGCGTATTGTCGCTGGATGTGGGCGAAGGACGGCGTCGTGTGGGAAGAGGAGGGCGATGCATATGCTCACAGGGCTGGGCAGGAGGGGTGATGGAGTGATGGAGAATTGCATGTTTGGCTTTGGGGGCGTTTTGGGTGCGGTTGTTGCGCTGGGCTGGGCTGCGGGTTGGAATTGCATTTGAATGTTGTTCGCGGATGCGTCGGGGGTTTACCTGCAGGAATGTCACAGAATGTCACTTGGTGCTTGTTACATATCGTTCACGAACTATCACCTATAATTTCTACATAACGGTCGAGGCTGCTGTTCATCTCATCTGTCCTGGAACGTTGTACTAAAGCTTAAGCGTTCGTCTCATCCGTGCCCTTTCACGTAGGTGACAGTTACAGTGATCGAATGCTCCACATTCATTCTGAGACGAGCCATTCTTCCTGGGTTGAGCCATTCGTTCTGAGACGGGTCATTCGTTCTACGACGAGCCATTCATTCTGAGACGAGCTATTCACCCTACGACGAGCCATTCATTCTCAGCGAGCCATAGATTCTATGACGAGTCATTCGTTCTAGGACGAGCCATTCAGTCTAAGACGAGCTATTCGTTCTACGACGAGCCATAGATTCTCAGACGAGCTATTGATTCTCAGATGAGCCATTCGGTCTAAGACAAGCCATTTGTTCTAAGATGAGTCATTAGTTCTAAGAGGAGCCGTTCATTCTGAGACTCTGAGTTGTGCCATTGATTCTCAGAGGAGCCATTAATTCTCAGAGGAGCCATTGATTTTCAGAGGAGCCATTGATTCTCAGAGGAGCCATTAATTCTGAATTGAGCCATTCATTCTACGACGAGCCATTCAGCCTAGGACGAGCCATTCATTCTAGGACCAGCCATTCATTCTCAGAGGAGCCATTGATTCTCAGGAGCCATTCATTCTTAGAAGAACTATTGATTCTCAGGAGCCATTGATTCTCTGAGGAGCCATACATTCTCAGACGAGCCATTCGTTCTACCACGAGCCATACATTCTCAGACGAGCCATTCATTCTACCACGAGCCATACACAGGCGTACGTACTCTAATGTAACATTCGATGAAGTTCCATCCCTAGTATGTAATGACAACAACCACTCGCGATCCTTCCCTCCCACAAAACACAACACACAACACACAATATACCTAACACATCACCATCCAAGCCCTCGGTGGCGCATTTCATTTTCTCCGGCACTTCGCCTCTCAGCGGCGCTTCCTGCTGAAGGAATCATAGGTACTCCACGGTACCTAGCTACTTTGTGGATCCCAACGCTGCATTTTGATTTCTACTGCATGGAGTTCAAGCGATTGCACTGCTTCGTCGACGAATGTATGACCTACGACAACCACATACATATCACTAGCCAAGCAGTACGCGGCAGGCAATCAACGTCCTTACTATGTACCTACCGCAGACAGCAGAAACGAAATACCAGGATTCGTGAGCAATCAGCAGCAGTACCCTCAAGCCGCAACGCAGTTTACTCGTCAGAGCTACGATAGGTAGGAGTTGCTGGAACTTGGAACATGCCCAATATTACGCAATAAGTTTCTTGGAGCATTTCGCTTTCATGAACCCAAGCCTGGGAGGCTGGGAGCATTGAGCCGGATGGTGCTTTTGCTCGGTCACGTGTGGGAGTTCCAATACCGGTCAGCAGAGTGTCTTTGCATGGGCATCAGGAAGCAAGACAAAGAAGCATTACCTAATCAATACGTAGAGACGTGTATACAAAGTCCAACTCAATGTGTCAATGGTGGGCGGACCCAGTTACTGGAGCTAGAGTCATCACCTGCCAATATAATGACCATAATCACATCCGTACGATCAGTATCTCAATGGGTAGCTTTGTAGTACATTCTACGAGTAAAGCCTTCTATCATGTGGTGCGGATTGCGGCTATAACAATTGGGCAGTTGCAACGGGAGAGGGGGGGGGGGTGTAATTGGTCAGCGAATGATCCGTGATGAAGTGGAAGAAATTGACGAAGCACCCTAGGTATGACATTTTCATTCACGATCCCTCTCAGACCGGATCATTGTAGTGCTGTCAGTGTCGGAGATAGAGCCTATGAATGTTCACTTGGTACGGAAGGCAGAAGGCAGCTGGTGGTGGAACCCATATACTAGGTACTCATCTCCTCCAGAGGGTAGTTTTATTCAGAGAGTTGTTCACTGTATTTCTCTTCTCCTTCTTGATTAAACTTCCTTTTTCGTGACTTCCAAGCAAACCGCCTTCGGAGTTTTTCTCCATGCAAATCTCATGTCTCTTTCTATGTACATTTTATATTCCAACACTACAGCAATGGAGTGCACTTTCCCCCCATAGCGGAGTTGATGGCTGTGACGGCACAGTAATCTAATCCTATAAAGCAGTCGTCATTTGTGAGCAATTGCCTTTTATGCTGGCATTTTTTCAGAATTCTGTGAATATTGGTAGAATGCGTAAATAAGCCAATACTCCGCGAAAAACTTGGTAGAAACGGCACTGACAAAGAATGATACCTCTATTTCGGCGGAACTTGCAGTTTATAATACTTTAACCACGTGATATTTCAGCTACGGTCATAGAACCATGAACACACGGCTTCCCGTCCGCTCAGCCCTAGTTAAGCATGGTATCGCCAGGTTAGTACTGCAGTGGGTGACCATGCGGGAATCCCTGGTACCGTAGTTTTTTCACCTTTGATTTCTTTTCCCCTCAGCTTCCGTCTGTCACACTCTCATTGTATTGTACTTTCTATCCGGGTTGGGACGACGTTCCTCAGTGTTTGTGACGGTTATTGCTGCTTTTCCGCGTCCATTTTCAACTTTTGTTATATTTTGCAAATATACTGGACTGAGCTGGGTTCTCGTATAAAAATCGATCCCCAGTAGCTAAAGAGAATGGCAGGGGAAGAGAACATCACCAAGAGTTATCACCAAAAGAGGATATCACCAAATTTCAGCATTGGCTAAAGTCGAATAACCGAGTGAGATACAATGCACATTACCCAGCGAACCCGAACATCTGATGCCAAACCGGAATGGGGGGTTCCAAGTGATTACCTACACACCCTCCTAGATCAAGGAGAGCACTTAGCTTTGTTTGTTCTATCATGACCGTAATTGGTCTGTCTAGAGAGGAGTCGATCACATGTCTGAGCATATCAACGTTTACGTGGAGTCGTGGACTCATGTATTTCCGCCTCTCGCCGTGTTGCGTTTGTGATGACTCGCCAATCTCAAGCACTACGGACTGATGCTTCTTTGGCCGTAGACCCGCCGTCCGAACGGTACACTGGAGGCGGTATTTGCAATTGGGTGTTGGCAAGAACCCCTCCCCACCCCAATGATCTTAATCACTAGATATCACTCCTGTTACATACCTAACAGACAAATCCGTGGCTACTATATCTAGAGGTTGGCAGCAGTCGAACGTGCAAGCAGCCATCGTGAGGCGAGGATGAACTATGAACTAGGTATGATCTATTCAAGGCCAGGCAGCGGTCGGGAATACGATCCGGCCAGGGCCAGGAAGCGCACCGCCGCCCCAGCGCCAGAAGGAGCCCGCAATCACGGTTGAGACCCGATGAGACATCCGGAGGCGATACCGCCTTCTCGAGTGCTGCTTCCGAATGGGAAGAGCCAGAAGAAGCTTTGGGCGCGGGTCCGGATGGAGAGGGGAGATGCGTAAGGCTCGCTTCAAGAATCAATATCTGAGACTTCTTCGCAGATGAGTGGTGCAGTTAAGCGGTTCTGGAATTCCTTGCCACCGCCGATGTGGGAGGGCGGATCTGGAGGCAACTCAGTGAGGCGTGGGAGGAGGAGGAGGAGGAGGAGGAGGAGGCGAGCGGTAACGAGGTTGGGGAGCGCGGGATCCCTCCACGCTCTCCTTCATGGCATCCTTTGAGTCCCTGACGACCAGGCAGGGGCGAGGCGAAGGAAGGTGTCAGACACGGATTCTTTCCTTCCTCTGTAATTTCCATGGTGAGCCCTACATGTCTTTATCATTGGCCAGTACGGAGGGCAAAGAAGCGACAACAAGCCGTGTGCGAGACGATTGAGGTCGGGACTGGACTGGACTGGATAGTGGACGAGAACTGATCCTCCCTATAACCAGTAGTACAGGTCACATACAATCATGATCAAACCATAAAAAACAACCGAGTCGAGACACGCTACTAGAATTGGGTGAGAGCAAGCCTTGGGAGCAGAATAGAAGCGAGGAGTTGGTGCTCAGGAAGCGTGAATGACTATTTCGATCCGATGGCAGCGCTCTTCTAGAGTGGAGCGGGTGATGAAACATGATTTCGCTCTAGGCGTGATCCATTGTGCCTCGGTCGCTATTCAGATAGCCAGCCGCCCCCCCTCCTCCCGTGAAACTAAGCGGTAACTTCATCGAGTGCCGCGCTACTAGAGTAGCTGTGAACTCAAGCTGTGACCTAGACAAACGCCACAGGTTTTCAAGGGACGGGTTCTGAGAGTGGCTCAGGCAAGCGGAGCACAAATTTGGGAGGCGTTAAGATGCTCTAGACCTGCCTGTCGTATATAGGAGAAGGTCTGGTTGCACTGTCGGTTCCTCGTTGTATGATACACGTCTTTGAGTGAGGCCAGTAGAGATATGATACCTATATCCAACGATGACCACCCTACTACCTACCGGTATAGGTAGTGGACAATAGCCATGGAGTCAGGAAGGATCAAAGAGAAATGCCTTCACACAATATAATGGCAAGGGGAAAGTGTTTTGCCCGATGGGCAGTGCTGGAGAGATGCCGATGGAGATACTGATGATGATGCGCCGTAGCGCGTAGTTACTATTCTACTGAACTAGTGCCCAGAGGGGTGTCCAATCGGATGAGTTGATCTGGTATGTATTATTCCTTCCTTCATTGCCCGCACTTCTTTTCGCGTATCATACAGAGCTATCCTGATCAACGCCCCCAAGTAAAAATACCCCATAACAGAACCGCCACTTGTGTCTATCCCCATGCACGCTCGTGCAGCCCGATTCACTCGAGTTCATCTCCCCCCATGGTTGGGATTCACGACGGGGTCGGTGCCAGAGACTCAGAGTCTGGAG